CTGCTGAAAACAGTGAAAGCTCATGGTTAGATTGCCCAGCCATCTTGTCTCTTTCAATTTGAACTCAACCTAATGGGTCTAATCTACTGTTTTACCTGTACCCAGGTGAAAACATTCCAGTTAACAAATGCAGCTCACTGCAAAATCAACAACTTCAGCATTTCCTACGTAAACTAGGGCAAATAAAATCGGCAACTAACAAAAGTTGAAAATGGTACAAACATGCTTATCATAATCGCGAGTAAAATCATAAATTCGGACACTGGAGAGTTCTGTTGGACGTTAGAATTAAAAAATAAATAAAAAATAAACTAAAAACGACATTGGTTTGTTTCTAGGTCACGATTTATTCATAACGCACCTAGGTAACACTTCCGTGCTTCACTGATTCTCACTTGCAAGTTACTGTCCGTTTTGAGTATTGATGTTTTGTTCTCCTATTGCAAGAATCTCAGGTTCGTTTTGCCTTTTAGACGTTTCTCCTCGGAGTTGTCCTGGACAGCCTCTATTTCCTTTCTATTGTCTGTTTCACCTGTTGGACCTCAGTTAAGTCCAACCATTTTAATTTTTTTATGTAAAATATAACAAAGAATATAGTCGATTAAAAAATAGTGATAAAAGTATAGTAATATTAAATTTTTTTGTTACTTTTTAATATATTTTTATACAAAATAAACTCTATCTTAAAATTTAGAAATGAAGTTTAGAAATTGATTTAAAATAATAGACTACTGAAATTTTTTTGAATAACTCATTCACAAATAATAAATTAAAAGAATTGAAGGGCGTGGTTAACGGAATAACTCATTCGCAAATAATAAATTCAAAGAATTGAAAACCGGATCAAAATACACCTAATTAATACACTGATTCAAAACTAAAAAATAGATTAGATAAAGACTAAATCATTTATAAACTAAACTAAATTAGGTTAATTTTATTTTTTAAATAAAAATAAAAATAATATTATTTTATTAAAAATATACATGTAGCATCATATTTTGTTAAAAAAATATTGGCATGCTTAGCAAATTTTATCATCAACTACAATGTTTGTTTTACTAGAAAACTAGAATGCTCAACGATATAACACTTTAATGTTACAGACATCTTGGAAACACTCCTTAAACAAAAGATGATATGCATTGATTTCAAACATTTCTTCTTCTTTAGAAAAAGAAGCATAATTAAAATGCTTCGAAAAACATAATTAAATTGATTATTTAAATAAAAATAAAAAATTTATCTAGAACAATTTAATTCATTATTTCAAGTAATAATTGATTTGTAAATTTAGAATTCTAAACATACAATCAGGGTTTAGATTTAGGGTTATCCATATGAGTAAGGATAATCTATTATTTATGAGATCATGTGAATTATCAAAATTATTCATCAAGATAATTAGTTATATTTTTAAATAATAAATTATTTTATTCTCTACAATCAATTCTCGGGAAGATTTTGAACTTCGAATATAACTGATAAGTTTATATATAGGGATAGAAATGCTTAAACTAATGCATAATTCACAAACATTCATACATTAAAACAATAATAAGTCATTAATGTAAGTTGTACAGGTTTTGATAAACTATTCTGGTGCCATCTGGAAAACATAATCCAAAACTTTTTTTGCAATTTGAAAAAAAAAAAACTATTCAGACTAAACAAGCTTACGCGTAAGACATTGTATTATAGCTCCCGTCACTAATTTCAAGATTAGGTAATTAAAATGTGAATTAAATCTCATATTAAATAAAATAAGAATAAGAAAATTAAACAATATATAAAGAAATGTGACTCATATCTTTAATACCTTAAAATTTTGGGATAAGAGTAATATCAATCTCTTATTTAAGAATCTCCTTATTATTAAGCCCACTCGAAAATGTCCAACAACTCGGTATTTAAGAGTTTTTTTTTCATGCGAATGGGAGTAATGGTAGAAGACGGAATAGTGAAGATTGACAAATTTGATAAAAATAATTTTAGATTTTGGAAAATACGGAAGATTATCTTTATCGAAAAAATTGTGTCGACCTTTGCTACGAATAAAAAAAGAAAACATATCTCGGGAAGATTGGGAGTTACTAGATCGACAAACTTTGAACATCGTCAGATTAATAATGACGAAAAATGTTACCTAAAACATCATCAACGAGAAGACGACATATAGTTTGATAAAATATACAAATTGAAGATTATCTTTATCAGAAAAAGAGTTATCAACCTTTGTCTAAGAATAATAAACCCAAAACAATGTCTCAGATTGGGAATTGCTAGATCAATAAACTTTGGACATCGTCAGATTAACATTGACGAAAAATGTTACCTACAACTTCATCAACGAGAAAACGACATATGGTTTGATAAAAACATTATCAAACATATACGAGAAACCATTAGCATCAAATAAAGTATTTTTTACATCAATTAATTAATACAAAGATGCAAGAAGATGCTAGTGTTACAAATCATGTGAATGAATTTAATTCCTTATTATCAAGATTAGCGTAAGTGGATATTAAATTTGATAATGAAATACAAGTCTGTTATTGCTATCTTTGTTACCCGATAGTTGGTCGAGAACTGTCATGACTTCTAGAAGTCATAAGCATCAGATAAGATATTTTTTATTTGTGAGTTAGTTAATGTGAAAATGCAAGAAGGTGTTAGTGTTACGGATCATGTGAATGAATTTAATTCCTTATTGTCAAGATTAGTGTCAATGGATATTTAATTTGATGATGAAGTACAAGCCCTATTATTGCTATCCGCATTGCCTTATAATTAGTTAAGGACCTGTCACAACGATAACCAATAATCTAGGACTATAAAATTAACCTTTGAAGAAATTAGGGATTTAATCTTTAATGAAGATGTTCATATAAGAAATATTAAAGAATCAACAAATTTCTTATTAAACACAAAAAATAGAGATAAAAAACCTAAAAGAGGGTAAGACTTTGAACGTGGTAGATCAAAGTCCAAAGAGCAAAGATAGTACAAATCTCACAAGAATACTACTTGTTGGTTGTCAGCAGAATGGACACTTTAGGGAACCAATGTACTCCTCTTAAAGAAAAAAGACATGACAATACAATGAATACATGAGAAGAAGACAATGATAATGTGTTGATACGTTGTATTGAGAGCAAGTTTGAATCTTAGATCATGTATTGTGGTGCATCTTTCTATGCTTCTCCTAGCAATGACTTGATAAAAAAATTTAGAAGTAGAAATTTTGACAAAGTACGCTTAGTAGATGATGAAACTTTAGACATCACAGATATGAGAGATATAAATCTTAAAACATCTACAAATATAATATGGACTCTAAAGGATTTCAGATATATTGTTGGACTCAAGAGAATGTTAATCTTTGTGGGTATGTTGGATGTTCAAAGATATCAAATCATATTTGAAAGGAAGAACATAACGATAACAAGAGATACAAGATAAGGTTAGTAGTAAAAGACTTTCAGTAGAAAAAAGGTATTGACTATTGTTAAGGTTCCAACATAAAACCAATTGACAATATGTGGAGTAGCCTAACATGTATTTAAACCATACCAAATGATATGAAGTAGGCGATGTGGGACTTTCAACAAATATAATGAGATTTTTTTTTTCATTAAGTTAAAATAACTACCATTAGACTTATTTGAGTATTGTGATCATGAAGAATTTACATCTAAAACAATTAGATGTTAAGACAACATTCTTACATGATAACCTTGATGAGGACATTTACATAATGCAACCGAGAGAATTTTCAAGTTATAGGGGAAAAAACTTGGTTTACAAGTTGATCAAGAGTTGGTATGGGTTGAAATAAATACATACTAAGACATTGGTACTTGAGGTTTGATAGTTTTATGAGTAGAATATGGTACAAGAAGTTTGTCATAAATCAATGTTGTTATATGAAAAATTTTGGTTCATCTTTTATTATATTACTATTGTATATTAATGACATGTTAGTTGTAGGTTCTAATATAGATGAAATTAATAAATTAAAGATACAATTGTCTAAAGAATTTGAGATGAAAGATTTAGATATTGAAAAACAGATTTTGGATATGAATATCAACAAAAACAAATTTGAATTCCCTAATATTATCTCAAAAGAAGTGTATTAGGAAAGTGTTAGAGAAATTCAATATGTAAGATGTTAAAATAATAAATATACTTTTGAGAGTTCACTTTAATCTCACTCAAGAAAGGTCACCTAAGATAGATGAAGACAAGATAATAATGACTAAGATTCTTTATGTATCTATAGTCGATAGTTTAATGTATGCACAAGACTAAACATTGTCATGTATTGAGAGTTATTAGTAGATTCATGTTCAATCTAAAAAGGAAGCATTGGAAAGTTGTCAAACAGATTAATATGTTACTTGAAAGGTACTTCTAAAACACTATATTACGTTTTAGAAAAAATAATGTCATTTTAGAAATTAGGTAATTCAAATGTAAGTTAAATCTCACATTGAATAAAAATGAAAAAATTGAGCAACATATTAAAAAGTATAACCTATAATCCAATATCTTATGATTTTGGATTAAGAGTGGTGTGAATCCATGTCTATATCTAAGTTAAACTCATATCTTATTAGGAAAATATCATTCTTCTTAACACCTTAAAAATCCATAAAATATAATACATGTTCGTTACTTCATACTTATCCACACAATCACGTAAATTACTTTTAACCTGACTTCTATCACCAATCTCGATGCACCACGGTCAATCTAAACTTGCAAAATGATGACGATGTGGTTTCAAAAGTAGGAGTGCAAATAAAAAGGAAGAGGTGCATAAAGTAACTCGGAGAAGAAAAAAAAAAAAAGAGAAATGATGAGAATATGGTAGACAAGAGAATGAGCCATGTTGGTTCGACTTTGACACATAAACATTCACCTATACACCCTCACACATTCAAGATACACCCTCACAACCAAAATCGTTGAAGAAAGAAGTGGCTGTGGAAATGAAAGTGCCTTGGACAAAGAAGCAGAAGAAGAAGAAACGTTGTTTACCCACGTTGTCTCACTTCACTAACCTTCCCTTTGAGCATCACGACCAACCTCATCCACAAGATGGCGAGTGTGTTCCCGATCCCGACCAATCTCACCTGCACAATTGGCGAATGAATCTCAAGGAGACAAGCTCGCTATGGTATGTTTCATTGTCACACATACCCGTGTTGTTCTCTACTGTTCTGTTGTTTATTTATTATTTATTTTCTGGGGAAGGGAAAGTTGGACTAAGGTAAAGTAGAGTTGTGAAAGCTGGGTACATGAAATTGGGGTGGGAAAACATGAGTACAATTTCGTGGTTTGTGTGAATATTTTATCAACTTAATGAGACAAGGGTCGCTGACTTTATGATTTACAGAAAATTGATGCCTTTTTTCCCACTCTGATTTGATTTTCTGAACCTGAATGTTGAGCGCTGAAGAGTTTAATTAGTGTAAACACCCTAAACACTTTATTTTCCCTAATACACTTGAACCCTAAACACCCTAAACATTGTTACACTTTCAAGTGACAACTAATCAAAAGTCAAATTTAAATCACCAACAATTAAACCTCTGAAAAGAAAATTATTTCTACTATCATTAGCAAACTGTAGAGTCACAGAAGAAGCAATGAATCTACTAACCTCAGGATTCTGACTGGCAAAACCGCAATAACGACCGAACGAGACAGTGATGGGGACGCTGCTGAAGCGGTGGCGGGGTTGAGAGTAAGGGTTTGATGCGTTTTGATTTTGAAAATGCGTCAGGGCCTAATGTTTGTGTAATAAGAGAGAGGGACGGAGAATTAGGAGGGAAGAGTCGAAATAACTCCTTTTTGGAGGGAAAACAAAATATAATTTTGAGTGGAGAAAAGTTCATGAGTTTCAACTTAAATTACAATTTTTTTTTAATGTGCAGGAAGTTACATAGCCAATATAAACACTTCATACTTATTATAAAAATTAAAGTTCATATTTATAATTATCAAAAAATCAGTATTTATAATAAATGTAAATAAATTTAACCATTTTTATTATTTTAGAATATTCTAATTAAAATATATGAACCTGAAAAATAAAAATTAATTATTTTGAAATAAATTTAAAAGAATGAAAAATAGAAGTAACTTAATTATAAAATTAAGAAAAAATAATAATTAATAAAATAACGAAATGCATAATAGTCTATAGTAAATTTAACCATCCATAAATTTTTTAGGTTGATGAAAATAAATAAGCGTTAGTAAATAAATAAATATTAAAACATTTTATTTTCAGTTCTAATATTATTATTATAATTTCAAATAAATATTTATAAATTATTATTAAAATATAATTTATATATATATATATATATATTAAATTATATTTTAATAATATATATGGAATAAATTGTATTTTAATCATAATATTTAAAAATTTATTTAAAATAATGAATGTTAAAAATAAAAATTTTTATATATCTTATTTCAATGCATTCAAAATTCATAACTAAATTAAAACTTTCATATTTAAAAACCAACTATACCAATAAATAGAAAAAGAATCATAACTATGAAAAGATATAATGGATTTTCTTCTTATAATGGTGTCAAACCCGTTCATATTGTTTTATCAAATGGTGAAACTATTTTTTCTAAATATTGTGGAATTGTGCATTTTAATTTTAAATTTTGTCTTAATTATGAATTAATATTTTCTTTCAATGGTTGTATGAGAACTTTCAAACTAAAGTCAAGTTTGATTTAGTTAAGCTAATTTCAAACTAAAGAGAAAATTGATTTAGTTAAGCTAAAATATGGTTTATATGTTTTTGACTTTACTAAAATTGTGGTCAATAATGATTTCAAGCAATACTATAAAAGATATTAGTTTATGATACTTAGGACACCCTTCTAATAATAAGTTGAACATCTTAAAATTCAAATACTCCTATGTTACCAATGATTGTTGTTATGTTTGTGATACTTGTCATCATGCTAAACAAAAAAAAAAAACTTTTTTTTGTTCTAACAATTCATACACCACTAATTTTTGTTATCTCGTAGATATTGACATTTTGGGTCCATGTCCATAAGATGTTTCAAATACATCTTAACTGACTATAGTTAATGATTTTTCCCGTTTCACCTCCCTTATTCCTATGGCCGACAAATAAGTAGTTATAAAATTTGTTATTAATTTCATAATCACTATTAAAAATCAATTTAACTCTTTATTATACATGACTTTTTCTCTTTAAAAGGCATCATACATCAAATCACGTGTGTTAAAATGCCTGAACAAAATGAAATTGTCAAAAGAAAACAACTCTTGAATGTTATTTATGTTCTTTTGTTTCAAGCTCATCTATCTATTATCTTTTGGTGCTTTGTGCTCAACATGTTATTATGTTAATAAATTGCATGTTTACTCCCTTGTTAAATAATACTTCTTCTTATGAAAAACTTTATGGCAAATTGTATAATATATTTACTTTATGTGGTTTTGGATGACTATGCTACTCTAATACTCCCATTGCACATAAAAACAAATTTGATACTAAAGTTGTTCCTGGTATTTTTCTCACTTTCAAACTTCACACTAAGGGTTATATGTTTCTTAATCAATACAATCATGAGATGGAAATTTTTCGTCATATCATGTCTTGTGAAAATCATTTTGCATATAATTATTACATTATTAATAGTTAAGATCCTAACCGTTTATCTCTTCTAGTTCCTCATAATTATACTAGACACTATATATAATATTTTCCAATAACAATGTCAATTTACATCCTAATACTAATGCCAGAACTACAACTTATACTACATTTGCTGATAATAATAATTCTACTAATATTGTTGTTGGTATTAACCATTCCACTGATATTTTGGATAATGATATTATTCAACCTCGTCATTCCACATGTCCTAGAAAATATCCTATTTGTCTTGTTTGATTTTCAAACTCAAGTATTATTAGATACTTGATGACTAATTTCATCTCATATAGTAAGTTATCTTTTACTTTTAAACACAATTCTTTCTATATCTTTTGTAATTTAGTCTCACAGCTACAAAGAAGCCTTAAAATCTTCACAATGGATTCAAGCCATGAAGGATGAGTTGAAAGCCTTGGAGGAAAACAACACATGGATTCTCACACTCCCCTGAGGCAAAATCGTTGGTGGTTGTAGATGGATATACAAGATCACACACAAATCATATGGGTGCATTGACAAATTCAAAACACGCTTAGTAGCTAAAGGCTACATCCAACTTGAAGGATTGGACTCCCCTGAGGCAAAATCGTTGGTGGTTGTAGATGGATATACAAGATCACACACAAATCATATGGGTGCATTGACAAATTCAAAACACGCTTAGTAGCTAAAGGCTACATCCAACTTGAAGGATTGGACTACCTTGAAACTTTTGTCCCCGTTGCCAAGCTCACGACTCTTCGTCTCCTCCTAATTGTTATTGCTTTAAAAAAAATGAGTCTTAAAACAACTTAACATCAACAACACATTTGTACATAGAGATCTTCAAGAATAAGTATATGAAAGTCCCACTTAAGCTTACTACTAACAAAACAAGCTTCAACGGTCTATCAATGGGCTTAAACGTATTGAACAACAATGTTATGCAAAACTTTCCACTCAAACAATTTTACACGTTCATTTGCTTATCATTCCTTTTTTTTTTTTAAACATGATGCACACCATATTATTGTTGTTTTGATCTATAACATTATACTCACGAATAATGATGATGAGGAGATATAACAAATCATCACTCTTCTGGACAAACATTTCCACATCAAAAATTTGGGGATCTTACATATTTTCTTGGATTAGAAGTTTCTCGCACTAGCTCTGACATTCATCTCAGTCAGCGCAAATACACTCTCGATCTTCTACAAGAAATTAGAATGATGAATTGTGCTCTTATGCCCACCCCAATGACACATTCCTCACAACCAATTAAGGAGATCTCCTTAGTGATAAATGTGCTTCTTCTTATCGAAGGTTTATCGACCGCTTAATCTATCTTACCAATATCAGACCTGACATAGTTTTATCAGTTAATAATCTTAGTCAATTTGTCTCTTTTCCAACCACTCTACACCAACAAACCGCTTACCACATCCTCTAATTGAGCCACTTGCTTTGAATCCAGAAAGTCCATGACTGGTTTCTCCATCTATTTTGGTAATTCTATCATTTCATGGAAATTCAAGAAACAACAAATGGTTTCATGCAGTACTTCAAAAGCATAATTAATATCATGCCTTAGCCTCCATCACTTGTGAGTTTCAATAGCTAACCTACGTTCTCTAGAATCTATAGATACCCATCACTCAACTAGTTATATTTTATAGTGACAATCAATCCGTCATACAAATAACTTTCAACTAAGTCCTCCAAAGCACACCAAGCATATCAAAATTGATTGTCACATCATTCAAGAAAATATCAACAAAGGCTTGTTGAAGTTTCTCCTCATCTCCTGATTTCTATAAATTATCGATCTCTTAACCCAACTTTTATTACCTGCTACCTTCAAATAACTTATCCCAAGTTAAGAATGACAAATATCTACTTTCAACTTAAAGTTTGAGAGGTTGATAAAACTTATATTTTTTCGATTTTTTTTTTCTCTCCCTCTTTATATTCTTTGAATACAAATTTTGATTTTATTTGATGAACAAACGTTGTTCTTTTATTGTTATTATTACTTTCATTTTCATCCCTTTCTTTATATTTATTTCAAATTTCTAACACTTATTCTTTTTCTACATTTCATCCATTATATGTATTGGATTCTTTTAATAACCATAACTTACAATTGTGATCCTGTTACTTATATCTCTTTAAGTAAATAATTTTATATGTCTTAAATAAGTGGTTCGGTTTGCATATGGAATGTGTATCAACATAATGATAAGAAAAAAAAGTAAAAGACAAAAAAAAGTTTTAAATCCTCTGGTAGTGATTAATACAAAATTCTCAATAAGTATTATTAAAATAGATTCTAATCTATATTAAAAAATTACATAAATTCAAATTAATTTAAAAAAAATATAAGAAAGACTTAAACTTTATTTATATAACATAACTCAAATTTTATTTATATATGATAACATGAAGAGATATTTATTAAAAATGATCTATTATTTATCTTACTCTTACCGTATTACTTAGTCGGTATTAGTAATAACTGAAATGATAGTTCAAAACAAATAATAAAAAAAGATGTTAATAAAATTTTCATAAAATTTATGAAGTTTTAAAATGCCATAATAACACATATTGTAAAAATAAATGAACAATGTAACTAAATAAATATCTATCCTTTTTTAAGGAAAATAAATAATCACAAAAAGAGTGTATCTATCTCAAATACTATATATCATTATAATAGGTAAATAGTGTTACTAAGTAAGACATGATTATTTTAAGTGATAACAAAATATAAATTGACATTCCTCTCAAAATACAATCATCCAATAATTGTTTTTATCAATATAATAATAATAATAATAATAATAATAATAATAATAACTTCAATTTTTATGTTTACTATTATTTTTTTATCAAAGAGAAGTTGCAGCATACATGTTTGAGAGGGAAGAATTATTTAAATTTAAGTGCTCTAAATAATACATCATATTCATAATTATTTATCTTAAATAAGAATATAATTATTTTAAAAAATAATAATAATAAGAATAAGAATAACTATATAGTGTAACTAATAAATATAAATTTACTAATATTAATAAAAACAAAAACGCTAATGATATATATAAATGATTATAAATTAAGTATCCTATCAAGCATTTAACATATGTACAATTTCAGTATAAGGAGTTAAGTTTGGCTTGAAATTCGATAAATTCCCTTTTAAATTCGAATGGATCAGAAAAAACTTAGATAAAATTTTCATTCAAATTTCATTAATGTAATTTCTAAAATAATATTTAAAAACCATTTATTACGTTAAATGAACATATAGAACAAGATTTCATGAAATAAACACTGATCTTGTTAATAAAAGGATAAAATAATTAATTAATTTATCCTCACAAATTAAAATTAATCTACACCTTAATTTTTTCTACTACAGATACTTGTACAGAATAAAACTGATTTTCAAGTTGATAATGTTTCTTTTCTGAAAATATTGATTTTTTTTGTTTGCATATATAATTTAATTTCAGCCAGTTTTTCAACTTTTATTATTATTATTATTATTATTGATTGAAAAATCCATTCATTGGAATATATTAATGTGAAGGACAATTTAGATTTTTCTTGAAAGAAAAACTATGGAAAGATATACAGAGAAGGAGAGCGTAAAACAGGTAATTCGTTCAAATCTATATTTTAAATTCACCATTCTGTAATAACTTTATTTCCTTAATTATTTTTTTTACAGTGGCGTAAAATTCAGCAATATGCTCTTTCTTCTATCACATAATCTTTCATATCAAATTAATTTATTTACTTTTAATTGATTATAGATCGAGAGTTTACTTTCTTTACTTATTTAATTAATGCTTATGTGATATATTTATTAATTAAACTGAATTTTATAGTTTGTAAAATGTATTTATTAATTGAAATAAATGAAGACTCTCTTCTGTACATGTATACAAAAAATAAAAAATAAAAAATAAAGACAAGTATTAACTACAAACCAATTTCTATACATGAAGGTTAAATAATTGTAAAGTAAACTACCAACTAGTTCTGGGAAATAGTTTACCAAATTAGTCATTAAAATTAATAAAATGGTAAAATGATTTCTAAAATTATACATCATCAATTAATTTAATATTTAAATTTATAGTGAAAATTAAATTAATTCTTGAAATAAATAAAAAGAATAAATGATCCTTAAAATTATAAATTCTCAAATAATGTAGTCATTTAAATTGTAATAATAAAACAATTTGATTCTAATTATAAGTTACCCTTATTCTAAACTCCTAACAATTTGATACTCATGAACATAGTTCATGATCCCTAAACATTCTTGTTCCTTAATTTTAATGAACAGTATTTTAATTCCAATCAAATTTTCGATTTCAATGTACATCTTTTCTTCTAATTTAACAATTTTGAGAAAATGATAAGAAATAAAAGTTTTTAATGTTTGATAATAAAGAATATAAGAAATTCTTCTTGAAAATAAAACATTATATATATATATATATATATATATATATATATATATATCAATGATTAAAATTAAAAACACAATAAAAATGATCTGTTGTAAAAGACTATGAAAAAAATCTTTTTTGACAAATCATTTTAGATAAATAATATAACATTGGGATGAGAGAGTAAGAATATAAATATTATTATTATTATTATTATAATATTGATAAAAGAGATTATCAAACAAATTTTTCTATATTATATAAATATTATTATTATAATATTGATAGAAAAATTGTTATATCTAAATTAAAATGAAATTTGTAGAGTATCTATGTTAGAAATTAATTATAAGAATTCATAATAATTCTTGAAATTTACATTAAAATAATATATTTTATTTTTAAAAAAATCTTTTTAAATAACTCCTACTAAATATGTTTGCCGTTGTTATGGTAGTTACCGTTGCTATGGTAATTAATTATAATTTGATAGGAAATTTGAATAATAACCAAACATATTTTATAAATATTTTTTTATAATTATCTTATTTTAAAAATAATGATAATAATAATAATAATAATAATAATAATAATAATAATAATATCCTTCCTTTTTTTTTTTGTTCCTTTTACTTACAAAGAAATGCAGAGAAGAAACACGGTTTGGTCACTTTTCCCCAGATGTAATAGAAGGAAAGCTGAGATAAATTGAATATTTTGTCTGATGAGGTAAGAAGTTAAGTATTAAATAGTGATCACAAAAAACAGCTCCATGTTTGTGCCCTTTTCATCACTATCAACTTAGGGTTTCTCTCTGCTGTGCCTCATTTTCAAGCACTGAATCCATAGGCATGGACAATTCTACTCCACCTGCTCAGAACATTCCGAATAAGTATCGTGTTAACCACTGGAAGGAAGCTGAGGATGAAAAGCTAAGCCAACTTGTTCAAGAACATGGTCCCCAAGACTGGAATTCAATTGCTCAACATATAGAAGGACGATCTGGTAAATCTATCAACTAGGTGTACTAATTAACTAGCTCAATTACACTTTTGTCCCCTCAAAAATTTAATAGGGTTAGGTTATCTTCAGATCTATTTTAAATGTCCCCTTTTTTCTTAACACTGTTACATCTACAACTAAAATTGAGTACCCGACCACGTTACGTGTTACACAAATCTAGTGCCATTTTTGTTAGAACATGAAAAGTGCGATTAATTTAGCTTTTGACGGTAAAAAGACGAGACTTTTTTTTTTAATGGTAATATATAATAAATCTTAAGTGAACAATTATACGGAAGTGGTAAAGATTGATTTTTTTATGAACTAAAGAATCGATTTTTTTATCATAATCAACTTAAGCATGATTATTTAGTTGGAACTACGTTGGGTTTTCTATGTTAATTCATTTTCATAAATTCATGTGTTTGAGTAAGGTTAATTGTATTTGATATTGCTTTTATGCATAGGGTTATAAGAAAAAATCTATACACGGGTTGATAACATCTATTTGCTTCCATTAGTATATATAGGCTCTGTTTAGTGGAAATTAAAATACTATATAATATAAACATTGCATCAAATTTATATCAGTTTGAGCAATTTGATATTTCCTACGTGCATATTGCTACCAAAGAAAATGTCACATCGTGAGGACATGCAGGTATAATATATATTATATGATTCTTGTTTTTTTTTTTTTATGTGTGTTTTGCAAACGGGTTTTCATTTCTATTGTTCAGGAAAAAGTTGCAGATTAAGGTGGCGGAATCATCTTGATCCTGGAGTTAACAGAAGCCCTTTCACAAAAGAAGAAGAGGAGAGGTTAATTGCAGCTCATGAGGCTTATGGGGCAAAATGGGCAACCATAGCCAAACTCTTCCAGGGGAGAACCGATAATGCCTTGAAAAATCATTGGCACGTTCTGATCGCACGAAAGCGAAAGGAAGCCAACAATATTGAAACCTTGCAACACCTGATTAACGCTTCAAACTCTTCTTCTACCACCACTGCTTCTCACTATGGACCATTCTTTGGTATGAGGAACTTCAACGCTGCACAAAGGGCCCTTGCACCAGTCTGTCCCAATGGTTCGTTCAACCCTATGAACTTTGGACTGTTACCATCCTTCTCAGACTCTTTTCCTGGGAATGAAAGGAGTTATCCTCTTGGGCTGTTCAATAGTGCTGCTGGTGATGCAATGATGAAAACCACCTTTTTTCATAGCTCATCATCAGCATTCACTAAGTTTAAGGGTTCTTCTTCCTCGAATAATAAAGAGGAAGCGCATGATGATGGATCCGAAGATGTTCCCTTCTATGATTTTCTTGGTGTCGGTGATGCCAATGAGTGAAGTGTTTAAAGTTTTAAACTTCATATATGAGGCGTAGAACTCTCTTGTTTAAACCTTGCGCTAGCTAAGGTTTTAGATTGTGACTACAGTTATCCAGATTGCAATGACAAATTATTCGGACTTCTAAAATTATGATACTCTGATCAAATGTGATCGTAGATATATATAGTAACTTAAAACTCTGGACATATCATCTAAACTAGTTGGAGGTGTAAATTTGTCGTGTGTGGTGCATGGCATACATGTAGGGTTTTCAGGTACTAAAAATCTACAGTTTTTTAATGAATTTTCCGTCTTGTCAACTTTCATCAGAAGTGATATGAGATGAATCCATTCCTAAAATAAGATACATAGCATGTATGCTATCTCACTGTAGTACTATAATAAGACATGTGTGAGTCAATCTCTGTTGACATAACTGGTTTATTGGTGTGGTTTCCACACTGGTATGCATCCCTTCACAGAAAAATTTCCTATTGCATGATAACCAGTCGAGTAACTGCAACAGGATAAAATCACTTACAATGTGTTTAAGTGAATCTTTGATGATATTTCTAATATGTCATTGGTATCTTTTTACTTTTTTGCATGTCTATCCGCTTTAACCTTTCTTTATACAAAATGAAAGATGTGAATGATGCATACAAGAAATAAAAAACAATTGTTTTGAAGGAATAATTAATGTAAACGAGGGGTATGAGGACATATTAATTTTGTTATCCTTGTATGCTAACAAACATATGTTTACTTTTTTTTTCTTTTTATGCTGAAAAATGTTATAACAACTTATACTTAAAATTATCTTGAAATGCATTAATATTATATTTACTTGTATACTTCAACTAAAATAGACCAGTGTGTATTAACAAATGCTTTGATATTTAATAATGCATATCCACTTTCTATTCAGAAGAAATGTATTAAAAAAATATAATTACAACTTTCTCAAAATACATTTGAAGTATAACTTAAAAAGTATTCTAATTTAAAACAAGTACGTATATGTTAATAAATCCCATTTTTAAGCTAAAATAAATTTGATTCATTTCTTATTATAATAGCTTTTGGAAAATAATATAAGTTTTTATTTTATTTTATTTACATGTAGTATTCCTGATGAAAAATCATATTCTCCCATTGTTTCCATGTGATTGGCTTCTATTCCAAGTTAAATGTTGGACAAATTTATCATAAGTTGCTTCAATTTTTATTTTTAACAAAGTTAAATATTAATAATCTCTCTCTCTCTCTCTCTCTCTCTCTATATATATATATATATATATATATATATATATGTATATATATATATATTTGTAAAATTTTATTTATTAACTAAAACTCTTTTAGAAAATGTTGTATTATTTTAATATTTATTTAAAGTTGAATTACAATATTTGTAAAAGAATTTATCAATAATAGCTAAAATAAATTTAAGATATAAAGATATTTACATAAACTATTATTTACTATTAAATTTAGTTATAATATGATTTATATATTTAAAATAAACATTATAATTTGTTTTTAACATATTGAATTGCATGTTTTCTTAACAATGTTAAAATAGGCACTAGATACACGTATGCTTAAGAAATATAAATTATAACACACATTATCGAAAATTGGAAAATTTTAATTTTTTTGCTTTTTTAAAAATCTAACTTAGTTTTTATATAATTTTCCTAATTAGTTTATCATTCATTTTCAACTTCGTCATAAGTTTCAAATATTTTGAGTGAAGAAAATGGGTTCCTTCCAGCATCAGATGACACAGCCTCCAGAGTGAAACCAATAATACTTTCCTGATTCTCCTTAGCAAACCCTAGATGATCGTCATGAATATCCCTTACCAAGCTCATGGTATGTTTAATTTAAACATTTAGCTTCTGGTAAAACCCTATTACCTCCTCTTCACACCTCATGGAAAAAATCCTGATTCCTTTATTGGTGAGATTCACCTTAATTAATTCTATAATTGATATAAAATCTCCATGTTACAGTGCTAATTGGCTAATTGGTTTTTTCAAGCTGATCAATTTTTCATGTTTTACCAAGTTCCGCGAGACCAATGTATAGGGTTTGCCAAACTAATTGACCCTAAAAATCAAGGGTTCTAGGTCCAAACACTTCTACCCTATAAGACATTACCCACAAACCCTAACCCTCCAATCCCACCCTTGACCTCTTTCCCTTAATGCTAACCGAGCCTCCATCTTCTACACTTCCCATAAAAATGCAAGTCACAAGCACAGTTTCAAGAAAGATGTGAAAATCTTTGTTTTTCTTACTTTAACCCATGTTGTATATAAGGTCTAAATATCTATTCCCTGTCAAGATATTCTAGAAAGTTTCGGTCCAATTCCGAGTATAACTATAAAGCTACGTCTAGGATTAAAGGGAAGCAAAATAGTAATATTTTGCAACAACCCTTTAATTTCATCTTCTCTCTTTCCAACCATTTGTGATTTTGGGTAAGTTTGGTTTCCATCCTGACATGATTTCATTTAGCCATTTTTGTGCACAACCACTCTTCGGCTTTTAAATCATCAAGTATGGTATGCAATTGTTTGGTAATTTAGAAGTTAGCTTAAATAATATGTTTTATTTAATTATGTTTCTCTTTTTGATATTTTATTGTTTTTACTCTGATTTTAAACAATAAAGAACATTTTACTAATTTCATTGCAATTGAATTCAAACAGAAAAACTATTTGATAATTAACTCTCAAATATTTCACTATTAATATAAATACATAACGTTGAACATTTTAAGATGGTTTATCGAAGAGAAAATATTATTCAGCTTTGAAAGCTTCCATATAATTCAATTTTGCTTGGAAAAACTTCAATCATATAATTTGGTTTGAAAGCTTCCAATTTGGAGGTTTATGTGGTTGAAAATTCAACTATCTAACTAAAGGGCTTGACTTAACACTAGCAAATGTCAACTTAAGCTGCGTTGCTAAAAAGAATCATTTTTTATCATCACTTTGACCACATTGCATGATATCAACAAAAATGAAAAAAAATAAAATAAAATCCATATACAAATATATTTTTCATTACACAAATGAAAAAAGTTTAGCAAGTTCATGGAACTTTTGATTTAAAAGGAACATAGGTCATGATGAAATCGGAAAAGGCACGAATGCAAAATTCCAGTTCTAAGTTCTAACAAGAGAAAAACCCTGCTTCTGACGTGTGACCAGAAATTTAAAAGCACCCTTTATAACGTTGCAACCATGTGAGTTATTTCTTAATCTCATAGACTTTGATTTAAATATTAGTCGGAACGAGTAGTTATTTCTTTGGTTAGGTAATGCAAATGTTGAATGATGAAGATTAGGGATTTGATATGTTGTTTTATTCACTTTGCGGAAAACCGTGTACCAAAGTCTCTGTGATCGCCATTGTTTTGTGAAATGGAAAAGATGAGCCAAATAGATAACAACACACCACCTTCTACTGTCTTTTCTACAAACTTAAAAAAAAAAAAAAAAAGTCAATAACTGTAAGTGGGCTAGAATAAACATATTATATATATTGTTGTGAAAATTTTTATAATTTTTTTCAAAATTTTAAATTATTTTATAAAAAAATATTAAAAATTATAGATTTGGAAAATAGGAGACAAAAAGTAGGAATTAAAAAAAATAATCAAAAGTTATATTTATTTGAACATTTAAATATTAAAATAACTCTTAAAACATGGTCAAACATTAAATATAAATACAACTTAAAAAAAAAGTTGTGATTTAACACGCTTGGAGACATAAGATAATTTCACTAAATCCAATCCAATTGAGATTGTTTTGTGAATGTTTGCCTAATTAAATTATTGTGATTAATTTAATCAAATTTTGGTTTCAAAACGTTGATATGATATGCACTTAGTCATGAAGTTGATGATAATATTCATTGTACATGGCTAAACATTTTCCAAATGCTATGATGAGAATCGGTTAGATAGAATGAAAGGGTGATTATACTAATCATACAAAAAGTAAACAAGCTTATAAATAATAATATAAAAAAAGAGGAAGTAGTTGTTGTTTTAAAATTCATTCCACCTTGTTGTGTTGGTTCATTTGGATAAGAGGAAAGGATAGAGACTAAATTATTAACAAATATAACTCGTGTTTGTTGAGGTGGATTTTGACCATTAATTTTGGGGGTAAATAATATATTATTAATAAATAATAAATAAATATAAAAGGAAGAAAGAAGATGAAAGAGTGAGAGAATAAAATTGTAGATATATACTTAAATATATTAAATGATTATTAAGTTTGAGGGAGACAAAATCATAAATTATATGAGAGCTTACAAAACTCGAAGAGAGACAGAGAATATAAAATTATAAATATACAGATAAATATATTAAATATTCATTAAATTTGGGGGACAAAAATCATAAATTATATAAATTACAAAAATTGGGGGATCACGGCCCTCAGCTTTCAAGAACATCAGCCATGTGTGAATGTTAATCTCTATGATATTTACAATTTCTACAAATAAAACATGTGATTGATGACATGTTTGATTCATTTCACGCCACAACTCACTAAATCATTGGATCTATTTTATTCCCCCCTCCCCCACTAGACATATTATTAAATTCCTCTTGAAACTGACAGTGAATGTGTTATTGGATTTACCAAATAATTTGCTATGAAACTACACGTAAATATTTTGAAATTGGTATCTAAAGGTAGTCAATTGTTTAGGTAAGAATGTGTTGAAAATGTTATATAATTAGTGATATAGATAAAGTATAAATGTAATTATTGAAACTGAGTTGATAAGATAGTAATTTGGTTATTGAAGAGCACGTTAGTTTCAATTTGTTGAAAGGTTTTGTCATCATTTTAGTGGAGAATAATGGGAGAGGGAATGAGGGCTTTTATGTCTTTTCAGTTTGAAGATCTCACGCGGTTGCAGAAAAGGAAAAGAAAATAGTCAAACTTTGCCCACCAATATCGGTGTTGGTGGCAAGTATGGTTTGAACTAAGAAAAGTGAAGCCTTGTTTTCCACATCTCTGACTCGGTCATAACCTTTAATTATTTCTTATTTCCCCTCTTACAATTTTAGGTATCAACCGTTCATTATTTCATTTTCTAAAATAAAAACAACAAAATCTTTTCAATGAATTATATTTTATCAAAAAGTTAAAAGGAAAATTCTAGTAAAATTGATAAATGATTTTTTATACTGATAATATATACAAATAAGAAAGAAAGTAAGAAAGATACTTATGAAACATCAAGACACGGTTGAATATTTGTAGTCACTATTTTTATGTTATGGTGAAAAATTAAAATTTCATAATTAAAAATAATTATTATAATTTATATATTTAAAAACAATAATAATATGAAAAAAATAATAACATTTTAAAAAATTAATTATATAAAAAATATAAATTTACAATTTATTTCCATTAATGTCATATAAAAAAAGTTGTGACACTTATGATTCTAACGCGTTGCAACATTTTGATGCGAAAAGACTGAACAAATAATTATGGTGTATCTTTTATTTATTCAAAAAAAGAAGGAAAATTAAAACTTCAACCTTTCTTGTAAATTGGTATGATAAGGTATAATTATTGATAATCCTAAAAAATAATATTTGAATAGATTATATTAATAAATATATAAATAATTAATAATACACTTAATGGTAGACTAAATTTTGGGAAAGAAAAACTTGAAGTTTATAAAATATAGAAATGAAATTATAATTAAATCTTCATAATATTATAATTTTTGTCCAGTTGTTATCGCGTGTTTGGTTGTTGAACAGGGTTTCTTTAACCATTTTCCTTTCTCTTTTCTTTCTTTTTTTGTTTACAAAACAAAAAACACAAAAAATGGATCTGAGATTTAATGACTGTGTAAAATTTTGTGAGTTTCGGTGTCTGGTCCTAAACCCACTCTCAACTTCCTACTTAGATATTTGAAATTTTAAAATGCTTTATCTTGAGATGGAATATATAAATTTAATAGGTATTTTGTTTAATAGTAAAATAACAAAAACATACTTCTTAAATATTGATTCATCTAATAGATCATGTGTAAACACATGAGTACTCACTTGATAACGTGTCTATTTCTATAAGTTATATATTCTTTTTCATGTGTGAATTAAATTACTGTCCCTAAATTAGACGAAAAAACATAACAAAAAAATGATTTATGCTATAAAAGGTTCTAGTTTTACACATGTTATAATTCGATTTACTCAAATTTCTCCATCCTATCATAACAAAATAATTAGAAAAGATGAGGATTCTTGTTCTCTCAGAACCCAGGGAGTAGAATTATTCAACCCTTTCAATAAATAGTTTAATATAAATAAAACTGTGTGCTCCTTTCTTTTCACATTAGGGGTTGAAGTTTAGGGTAGAGTGAAAAGACACAACTACCACTATGATGGTTGCTGATATGTGAATCCAACGGTGTACATTCTCTGCAGTTTGCACGTCCATGATGGGTACCTATGTCATTGTATGATATCATGGTTTCGTGTGGCCAATGTTTTTTATCTGAGGTAGACAAGTTGCAGTGAATTCCAAGAAGTTTCGTTAATTCTTGGTGCGTTTGTTTTTCCACTTGCTTACCACTTCACTCGGTTCCAGAAGCTAAGATTGTCGTCAGGGTTATCATAAATTGATGAATAAATAAATGGGCATCTTTAGACTATAGCATATGTTCATAAATTTTTATTATTTTTTTGTTGGGGTTGCTCAATTGCTCCTAACTCACCACAATTCTTAACTCAATGAACCTTTAAACTTAAAAGTCTCGTTATCCTTTTCTTCCTTTGTCCACATCTATATTTATTAGATTTGATTGGTTGTGCATATCAATTCTCAAGTACCTTGTTAATTTATCTTTTGTTTATCTGATTTGTTGCTATTCCACCAATCTGACCTTCCCAAGGAAACAACCATTTTAATATATTAAGGAGCCATCAAGAGTTGGTCTTGCTTGCCCTTTTGGGTTGCCTATCATCAATCTCTCTGCTTCTTGGTCAAAAGCCTTAGTTGAGTTTCTTACTCTGTCTCCCAGAGCATCATCCTCCTAATCTGCCTGAAGTTGCACCAGGTACCCTTTATCTTTTGTTTAATTCCTGCCTCTAGATTTTTGATTATGTGGTTCAGTTTTTTGTAACTTGGGTGGCTCCTAATAAGAGGTACCATCGGCTACGATTGTTGTGATTAATTGTTAATTGAATTAAGGCAAGAGTATAGAAGATTGGTCCTTATTTATAGTTTCTGAATAAGGTGGTTTTTTAGGGAGTTTTCTACTTTTCCTATCATGGGTTGGTTCTCCAATTTTATTTTATTTTCCTTCATCCTTTTCTGTTTCTGCATTTGCAACAAAGGTGGATTTTGGAAGGGAGTTTTGTTGTCTTAAAATATCGTTGTTCGTCGTAGTGGATACTTTAGCCCCTAAGATTCTCATATCTTAACACAAAGTGATTGGTATTATCCAAAAAGTTTTATGTATGGTTGACTAATGGTTGCATAGAAGTATCTGAACCTTTTAAAATCAAAATTTGTTCCAAGAAAGATAAGCGATATACTCATTTCTTGAGCTTTCTAGTTATTTAAAAAGGCAAGTATTCTGTCATCCTCAGGAGAATTCCTCATTTTTTAGTGCCAGATAAGATTAATGTCTGAAGGATTATTGATCCATACAAAAGTTTTTTTTTCCTGGGTATTTTCATTTGATTTCAAGAATGCGTTTGGTAATCCAGCTAACATCTGCAGTCATCTCACCTGATTGTGCACATGGGTGTAAACTACATTTATTTTTGCTCTTCCAAATACTGTCAGTTGTTTGGTGAATGAAGATTTTCTAGCAGGATAGGATTTTTGTTGTTGTTCGTCCCAAATATTGTGATTTGAAGCCCCTATATTAAGAACGAAATTCTTTTCTATACTGGGTGAAGCTTTATCTGCCGTATAAATTCATACGTGATCAAAGCCAATAACTAAATTTTGTTAATAAGTTGTTTTAGTTCTCTTTGCCGGGTAAGTGAGATCATATTTACTTCTTAAAATACATTCAAAAAATTATTCTTAACAAGTTTATTCGTGAGACTTTCAGTAAATGTTAAGTATTAAACGTTTCATATGTCTATATAGATTGTTTTTTTTTTCTAAATATAAAATGTTTTCTAATGTTCGTGTCTGCTCCTTTTGTTTCACCAATCTCAGCAAAGACATCCTTGAAGGTTCATCAGTGAGCACTCTCTCGTTTTACTATTTCTCAAGGTAGGAAAGAAGAGAAAAAAATAAATAAAGCCTGGTAGTTCTAATTGATTGCAGTTTCTATAGCATCTTCCTGACTAATGTCTGTGATGTTTTGGGTGCAGACTGAAATTTTGTATGAGCTGAGTGAATAAAACGAGAACTATGTCATTGGTTATATCTACAGAGTTGGCGGATACATCATATAGGAATGCCAAGCTCTACACACTAAAGGGAACTGATGTTTCACCTGATCTGTCCTCCCACAATTTTGTTCCGGATAAGCACAGAAACATGTATTTCACAGATTCTTACTCGAGTGAGAGTTATGAAAAGTACTTCCACGATTCTCCATCAGAAGAACTAATAGAACCATCTAGTTCCAGCATATCAGGAAATTCAGTTCAGCCCGATGGTGCTTCTTACCTGCTCAGAGCTAGTTCAGGAGCTTCTGTGATTGTTAATAACCCATTTGACGCTTCTATCCGGTCTACAAGGCGTCACCATGCCCATCAGTCCAATTTTGGATCAGATTTCGTGGAAAATAGGAGCCCTGATGGCCTTGACTTTGATGGTGAAATGAGATTAAAATTACAAGAATTGGAAAGGGCTTTGTTTTCTAATGAAGAAGAGGAGGAGGAAGACATATTTGAGACTGTGCAAAGCATGGATATTGATCCTGACATGGCCGAGTGGGCCAATCCGCTTCAAGATATGCTGCTCCATGACTCACCAAAGGAGTCTTCATCCTCAGATTCTTCCAATATTAGCAGCATAAGCAGCACCACCAAAGAAACTTCACAAAACTCGCCCCAGACCCCCAAACAATTACTTTATGATTGTGCTAGAGCACTTTCAGAAGGAAATGAACAGGAAGCCACATCTATGATAAACAATCTCAGGCAAATGGTCTCCATTCAGGGTGATCCTTCTCAAAGAATTGCAGCCTACATGGTGGAAGGGCTTGCAGCTCGCGTTGCTTCCTCTGGAAAATGCATCTATCAAGCATTGAGATGCAAGGAACCTCCTTCTTCAGATCGCTTGGCAGCTATGCAGATACTATTTGAGGTCTGCCCATGTTTTAAATTCGGATTCATTGCTGCAAATGGCGCCATAGCTGAGGCTGTTAGGGATGAAAAGAAGGTTCACATAATAGACTTTGATATCAGCCAGGGAACTCAATACATAACTCTAATACAAACACTTGCTTCAATGCCAGGTAGGCCACCTCATGTGAGATTAACCGGGGTGGATGATCCCGAGACCGTGCAGCGCTCCATTGGTGGCATAAACATCATAGGACAAAGACTTGAAAAGCTGGCAGAAGAACTTGGATTGCCATTTGAGTTTCGAGCAGTGGCTTCAAAAACCTCAATTGTCTCTCCATCAATGCTCAATTGTCGTCCGGGGGAAGCACTTGTGGTGAACTTTGCATTCCAGCTTCATCACATGCGTGATGAAACTGTATCCACAGTGAACGAGAGAGACCAGCTTCTTCGCATGGTCAAGAGCTTGAAGCCAAAACTTGTGACAATTGTGGAGCAGGACATGAACACCAACACCTCCCCTTTTCTCCAAAGATTTGTTGAAGCATACAATTACTACTCTGCTGTTTTTGACACACTTGATGCAACTCTACCTAGGGAGAGCCAGGACAGGATGAATGTTGAAAGGCAATGCTTGGCCAAGGACATTGTCAACATTGTGGCGTGTGAGGGCGAGGATAGAATAGAACGGTATGAAGTCGCCGGAAAATGGAGGGCAAGGTTGACAATGGCTGGCTTCACTCCATCCCCAGTGAGCTCAAATGTGAGAGAAGCAATTAGGAAACTCATTATTAAGCAGTACTGTGACAGGTTCAAGATAAAGGAGGAAATGGGAGCACTTCATTTTGGGTGGGAAGACAAAGACTTAATTGTTGCTTCAGCGTGGAAGTAACCAACACAGATTCTTTTGTTGCGTGAGACTCATTGTAGTGTTGATGTAGTATTTGTTTGCTTGTTTAGTCTGTATCTATATGTTTATGCTTGCTTCAAACTCCTGTATACTACTAACGTGCAACTTATGCTAATACAAACTTTCATGTGTCTAACAAGGATGATTTGATAAAGCTCAATTATATGGCACATTAAACAATTATCAATACTTGTTGGCATAAATTTGGTACTTGAACAAGATTATGGTATACAACTGAAACAAGACAATTTCTGCTATTTTTCTGAATCATCTACACTTTAATGTAACAATGTTCATTCGTAATCAATATACTCTTATTCATTTTTCGAGAGTTTTTTTTATATTCCAGTTACTTGCGCGCAAATCTTTCAGTCACTAAAGATTTTCCTTCTATTTTCTCTCTTCCTTTTATTTCTTGTTATTCTCTCTTCTTTCTTTTCATGCTTGTTTCCTTCTTCTCTCTTTTTATGTTTTTCTGGCATTTATCTTATTATTTTAATTAAAAATACTAAATTAAAATTTGATAAAATAAGTCTTTTATTAGTTTAAAAAATAAAAATATATAAATTATTTAAAATTACTATAAAATAATATATTATATTTTTAAAAAAGTTATATTATAAATTTATGTTAAAATTATTTTAAAAAATATTTATTTTAAAATATTTTTTTATATTTTTTTTAAATTATCTAATATAACTAATTTTCATAACTTAATCGCCAATTATAATTAAATTAAATTACTAAATAAAACATATATTTATTCGATATTTTTAATTAGATAAATAATTAATTTATTATAAATAAAATAATTTAAAATTAATTATTTACATTATCATAAATAAAATTATTTATTTTCGTTATAGTTTTAAATAACTCGTTAATATTTTTTTTAGTTTTAATGTTTATTTTAAAAAATTATATTAATTTAATTTTATTAAATTTCATATTTAGTTAAAAAAAGTTGATGAGAGAGGAGAGAGAAAAAATTAAGAGACTTAAGATATAAAATAGAAAAATAACAATGAACGGGAAGAGAAAAAAAATTATAAAGAGTGAGAAGAAAATTATGCATACAAATAATAAACGTATATGGTTGAATAAATAAATTAATAAAGATTTTAAGTGAGTTTTTTTAATATATTATTTATAAAGTTGATTATATATTTAGAAATTACAAGTTTTTATTATATTCTGGTATTAACATGAATTATTCTTTTAAGATTAAGTTTATGAAATTTTTTATTCAGTAAAAAATTATTAATCAAGGGATTAACTAAACTGCTTATTCAAACATTTAATTTAATAATAAAGTAATAATTAAACCAATAATTGTAAACAGAAGCAGAATTTGGGATACTTTCATAATACTGCATAACAAAAAAATAATTTCAGTTAATTTTGCAATAATTAATGCTTTACACTTCCGAATATGGCAATAAATTTGAAAAATCTTATGAATACATAGATCAATTTCCCCCCTCCTCAGATTCTTGTCAGCCTACGGAAAAAAAACAAAAACAGCAGAAATAAGTTAGTTACATGAGCAAAACATTGTAAAGTGAAAAGTTTATAACAATTAAAACAAATAAAAAGATAGAATATTTGGATTAAGAAAAAGGTACGCATTTCTACCAGCGAACAAAAGCAGTGTCTTCATGACCAGTGAAAATTATCATCTGAGCATTGGTGGGTAATGACATATACAGATTATGAATTCTAGCATCCATACGAGCCAGAATTTCCTTCACTTCAGCAGGTGCTCTCAACAGGGAGTCTTCCTGATTATCAAAGTTGTTCTCACATGCTCGTGATCCCATCGTATCTATAAGTCTTTTATACAAGCCTTTAGCATCCTTCATGTATGAGCGTAGCTCTGAAAACCGAGTCCAGATAAAATTTACCTCGTCATTCTTCACCTGAAACAAAATAAGACATAAAACCAAGACCATAACGTAGTTATAAAGGTTAATAAGAAAGGAAAAAACATAGAAATATAGTCAGCTAAAGACATGTACCTCCTTTATGGTCTTTGCAAGTGCTTCATCATCAGAGGTCACTGGAATTGCATTAGTGGACTCAGAGGCATACAGTTTTACTATGGATATATCATCAATGAATGAGGAAGTTTTGCCAGACTCACTCAGAACAGAGAATAACTTTTTTCGTCTATAGCATGAACTGTAATCAGGCCCTGTTTCAAAAGGGTCACAACAGTTATGCTAAACAACAATATGGCAAATTAAAAGCTAATATAATGAGATAATACAGAAGATAAAATAAAAAATAAAAGCTTGTGGATATAAATTTAATTTCCTTCATTGTACACTGCAGTACAGTCTTCAATGTTTCTACTCCCCTCACCATTCTGTGCTGCTAAATTCATATGTACATCTATATTTTATATGTATTATTACCTTGCTGCTATGATGGTTGTACCCTACACACTCATGTTAACAACTCTCCACAAGTGAAAAAGGGAATCATCTGCTTCCAAAGATTATATACAGAAACTGCATACGTACTTAACTAGAATGCATTGAAAACTTCTGATGTAAAGATTGCAACAACAACAATGATGTATGAAGAAGAACTACTTGCCATATCTGATCATCAATAGTGCTAAATCTAGGGCAGCTCTAGCATCTTCAATGCTGTCATGCCCATTCTCTGATTGTTGTATCGTCCTTGCGAGATTATGCTTAGCAAGAGACCGTAAAGAACTTTTATAAAATGCTCCTCGGGGATCTCCGTATAACACTGCTGTGTCCATGACTACTTCATGAGATATTTTCAATACTCTTAAATCGTTTTCCATGGAATGTCCAACAAGGATAGTCTCCTTGCAAACAAACTTTAAGAACTCTTCCTGAAAAAGAGAAGCAAATAAAATTAAATCAGCAAAGCCAATAGTTTCAACTTAAATGGTTCACCACTGCATCAGAAGTTTGAGCCTATTGACTGAAAAGACACAGAAGAACAAATTGAGACAACTCAAGTAATAGAAGAACCTGAATGTCTTTTAGACTTGTTGTCACCCCATCTAACATCTCAGGCGTTATTCCACTATATCTGCATAACATAATAATTACATGTTTGCTTTCATTACAAATAGATAAGAGTGTCCAAAGACCAAACAACATCATCCAATAGTCTCTCAATCTATTCAGGAATTTCTAGCAGTAGAAAGTTAACAACATTATGAATTTTGAGGAATTAAAGGACAGAGAGGAGAGCAGGGGAGGGATTTTGACAAAGATTTACTGTATGTTAAATTTTCCAGAATAAAGGGGAGCAAAAGCACTAGCTTAATTTAAAGTAAGTATAATGTCTAAAATAATAAAAAAATATTATTCAGGTACATTGACTGGTACTGAAACAATGGCTTACCTTGTGCAGTAGTCAATGATGGGGTTTGATGGTTTAACCAATTTATCTAGCAAAACCTGAAAAGATAAATGTTAGAAATTAAGCAATGTGCAAGTAGATATTTCCAATTTCAAGGAGTTGACCAAGTACCAACTTCAACTCCTTAAAGATTTAAAATAAGACAGAATAAAAGACAACCAAAACAAAATACTTCGCAAAAACTAGTTCAGAAAACAAATTCAGTGCATGCCTGTCCTTTGATGTCCACTAGAGTAATTCTTGCCAGCTCGAAACCTTCACTCGTTAGGCACTGCGCAAATGGAACAAAATTTCATCATTACATATGTACAGAATATGCATAAAAAAATGTCATAACTACTTTAATTTGTCTCAATATGAACATATTTTCTATAAACAGAGAAACTTGCTCCCTTGTACTGAAGAAAATCTGCTAAGTTAGTCTTCATCTAAAACTTTATTTCTAAATGACAAAAGTAGCAATCTTGAACCAAACTGGTATTGATTAACTTACCATCTCACAATCAAGTGCCAACATCTCATAAAAAGGAGATCCTGAAGGTGCAGGCATAGTAGAAAGAAAACCTGTACTAATCCGGGGATACAAAAGACTTGTTCAGTAAGCAAACATTCATAAATATTAGCATATGTAATGGGTAGCAGGGTGTAAAAATCACCTGGTTTACTATGAGAATATCCATGATCTTCCCGTTCTTGCTCAGTCAGTGTATAGAATGTAACAGGGAAAGGTATATCTTTTGTAAGCTCTGTAAATGATGGCCCGTCTGTGTCACATTCTTCTGCATGAAGATTTATCATTTCATATGACTAAATTTATATAGGTTATATAACTGCAACATAACAGCAATTCATTCATGTTTGTGGTCAGGAAAAAAAAAAACAGCTTATGTAAAATAAAGCAACACACACACTAACCTTCACTTGTAATTGAATTCTCAGATTCAAATTTTTATTTTATTTTATTTTATTTATAGTATGGTAATCTTAAAATGAATTCAAAATTACTAGAAAAGGCCAAAGGGTATGAAATCTCACACATACAATGAACTGAGGAAATGTTGAAACATAAACTGATTTTTGGGCCATAGTTGTTTTAAAAAAAGCCCAATTTTTAATTATGCTTATCATGTTCTACACAGACATTCTACACAAATCTATTTAGGACATAATTTTAGAGTAAAATGTCCAAGATATTTAAGTAGACCAGTATCTGTGTAGAAAGTTCAAGAGAGTCATTTGGAACCTTAGATTAAATATTTTTTTGGCAAAATCTTAAACCATTGAATTATGATGAGTCACTAGTATAAGTAGATGTTCCATTCTTGATGATAAAGAAACATGTAAAAATATATATAATATATAATTGTTAATATTAAAAAGTACTAATAAAAACCTTGATGAGATGTCAGAGCAGGTTTTTCCATATCTGAACTATCATTGTCCCTTATTTTTACACGACATGTCAGGAGTTCATCTATTGGCTGCATTTTATCTCGTACTCTAACAAAAAGAAAAAGTTAGTTTAAATGCAGTGGAATGACATTTTGAAGGAAACTAACAAGTAAATATATTTTATACACACCCATGAGATAGGATAGACTTTGTTTTGTCACAGAATTTTCGTAAACTGGGAAGCAGGGTAGACCGCAACAAGAACATATCTTGGTCTAGGCCAGGTATATAGAGCATAACCACCTTGGTAATAAGATGTTTATTCTGCAAATCATGAGATGTTACATTAGTGATTGTTGCAAAATAAGATGTGATATGTCATATGAAGTAAAAGTTGAAGGTCTACCAACTATAATCAGTAAACAGTGTGTAGTGAATCAAACATGAGATGTTACATTTAGTGATTTGTACCTCAATAGAAACCCAAGGCGGCATCAATCCTTCACCCCACACCAAAGTTAAAAACAGTTCTTGAATATTCTGTTCCACAATATAAATATCTCTCATAACCACTTTCAATTCAAATTTAAAGTCATGAATGGCAGTAAAAACTTACTTCAAGAGTTAAATCATATTTTGGGTTGAAAACAACATCTGCCTTATCCTACAAAAGCAAAGCAGGTTAATCATCTCTTTTCTTTCATTATGCATCAACAGAAGGAGTTAAAAAAAAAAAATCAAAGAATAGAGACATTGAACAGAAAAATAAAAATATAATGAAAATATACTTGGGATGCATAAGGGGTCTCAGAAGAATCCATTGTCTCTGTGTGCTCTGCTAATGCTTGGTTTTGATAAGAAGGCGAGTGATTCTGAATTTGCAATACAAGTTTCATCATTTTATAAGTACATTTAATATTTAACTATATGTTAAACAAAAGTATTTACTCAAGATATTATAAAAAATAAAAACTACTGAAGATTATATCCAAATCATATAATATTTTAAGATATCAAGATACTGAGATAAGAATATTGCATGATAACAATAAGATAAAAAGAAGACAATGAATATCTCAAAATTAAGAAATTTTCATAGTTGAAAAGAAAAATACATATAGAAATACAAACATACATAAATGTTTAATTTGAATGTATCAATATATTTTTTTAAATTATAAAATTAGTCAACGGTGATTATTTTTATTAAGAAATATAATTAGCAGTTATATAATTGATATACAAAAATTATTTTATTAATATAATTTAATAATAAATTAATTAGTATAATTACACATATATAATAATAGAAAGAATATGTAAAGAAAATAATTTATTCATTATTATTAATAAGATATAAAAAAAGTAAATATAAATAAAAATTAAACATCAAGTTCATATTCAAACTTTCTGAAAGTCTTTTCCTTAATTGTTACAAATAATAAAATGAAATAATAAGATTGAAAAGTGTAATACATATATCAAACCTTTATTATGATACAGGTATCAAAATTATGTTTCTAACATTTACTTAATAAATGTATCAGAATTATGTTTCCAATATTTATATAATAAATATATTAATTAAATATAATCAACGTTTTCCCATATGATGCGGTAGGTTGAAATATGAAGTAAAATAAGTTGATATATGAAAAATAGTACATTACAAATTTTTCCTAAGGAATACAAAATTGTTTTTAACAATAAAAATATTTTAAATTTATTATTAATTAATTAATATAATTTATTAAAATATGAATTAGTATAATTATATATATAAAAGATTCATCTGTTTCAAAAATAAAAAATAGATAGGTTCTGTTTTTATTATTATTTTATTATAATTTAATGATTAAATCAATTATTATTTTAATTTATTAAATTTAAAATTTTTTATAAAAAATATTTCTAATTTTTAATTTTAAAATAGAAAAATTCTTCTCTTGTTATTCTTTTTAAATCTTAAAAATATAAATCAAATCGTTTAATATATATATATATATATATATATATATATAATAGAATAAAGAAAAATAAATAAAAAATTGCACATACTAATTTAAATTACATTTACTAATTATGTTGACTTCTTAATAGATGTCATGATGAATCATTGAAAATTTAAAATGAATTACATATTTTTAATTTAATGTAATTTAGTATGGGTTTAATAAATTATTATGACAGTGAAACAATAAAACTAATTTAATTTTTAGATTAAGAATATTTTTCACATCTCTACTCTATTCTTCACAGAAGCAAATATTTATGAAATCGATTTTTAGTTATTTATAGCTTTACAATTAGTTTTTTTTTTAATTCTAGAATTCTTATAAAAACAATTTTTAGTGTCTCTACAGAAATAAACACAGAAGATATAAGTGCATGTTTCAAGAATTTAAAGTGTGAAATATATCAGGTAGAAAATATTGTGTAGATAAGTACCATTTTAGTTTTTATGTTTATAATCTCCACTTAAATATTATGTTCAGATAAAACTCGTTATAAAATATGATTTTAATTTTTGTAAACTATGAAACATGTTAAAACAGATTTTATAAAGTTCAATTTTTATAAAATATAAACATAAATTTTTGGTTTTAAATATTTAATTTATTAAAGTTTATTAACAACCTAGCAAAAAGAGAAAATAATTTTTTATGTATATATAAAGTTAGTTACTGTATTCAAATAATTAATTTAAAATTTTTATATTAATTTGATCTTTAAAAAATCTAATTATAATTTTTTACGTAAAAAAATCATTATAATGAAAGAGGATAATATTATTATTGTGTTATCTTCTTTTTTATATAATATAATAATTAATTTTATAATACATATATATATATATATAAAAGAAAAATGTAATTATTTCAAAAAATAAGAATTAAATAATTAATTTTTATCTTTATCATTTATTTTTTAATGTTTAAATAATTAATTTTAATCATTAAATTAAAAAATGAATATATTTCTAATTCTTATTATTTTTTAATTGAGAATGTCAGTTTTTATTTTTAGACAAAATACTTCTTATTTTTTTATTATTTGTTAATTTAATTTTATAATCTAATTATCATAAATAATAATTCATCAATAAATTATAAAAAAAATATTTATTTTAATCTTAATAACTAAAGGACTTAATACTTTATTCCTTTTAGTTTGCTGCAGAGATATTATGCATAGCTAATTGTTATGACACATCTATACGGACAAAAACAAAATGAAACATTATAAGAACAAAAGAGGTTTCTTCTCATAATTTCTTTAGAAGAAAAATCTCACACACACACACACACACACACATATATATATATATATATATATATATATATATATATATATATATATATATATATATATTCTTCCAGATTCTTTGAAAAACAAGTTCTGCTAATTTTTTAAATGCTTGTAATATGAATATATTAGGAGATTTGAACCTCTGGCTTATTAGAAGAAGAAAAAGTTAGTTAGTGAAGTTGTTATTTTGCATCTGCTTTCATACTTTATCCATGGATGGTTTATGGTTTATTCTCTGAAAAATCATACTATGATTAGGAATGCTTGCATCGGTTATTGCTCTAATATATGTTTGTTGTACTTTGATAAATTGTAAGATGAATGTGTTGGGAAAGATGATAAATTGTAACTGAGTGTTTTAGAAACATTATAAAAGGTTCCAACATGTTTTCAACAACTAGATACTTCGGAGTGAGTCCCCACACGGTATTGTCGTTTTGATCGGAAGTTCATGTAATGTTCATCTTCCACATTTCTGGGTGTTTTCATGGGAGTGTGACCTCATTTTGTTTTCCATCTCTTCCAAAACACACTTTATTAATTCATCTACTTTTTTTTCTTCTCATATCCACAGGTTTTCTATTATCTCAAAATGATTTCTTGTTAATTCTAAATTGTGAGTTCTTCGAAAAATATGTGAGGAATTCAAACACACCACAAATAAGTATTCAAGGAAAATAATTATATACGAATCAAATTGTATTTTATTTTACTCAAGTGCTTATAACAGAATGCATGTTTGGACATGGGGGAGTGCATTTATTTCACACAAAATTAATGTTATATATTTATTGTATATATATAATCATGCGCTCAAATTTGTGATGATATATAGAACTTAACATCTTCGGTTCAAATCTCTACATGGATTGTCACTATTAAAAGAAAAAAAATTGCAAATTATATAAATATGGATGAAGACGATATTCAATCCTATGAAACACTCACAGGTATAGTTCATCATGCACGAATATTTATAAGTCTAAAAAAAAAATTGTTACAGAGGATGCGTCTAATAGATTAAATGAAACGTGTTTCTAATATGCTATAAATCAATGTGTTGTGTTGATATAGTGCTCTATCTAACACTTTTTGAAGCAAAGTTAACATAACCAACGGAATTAAAATGTCAGAACAATACTATAAATCTGAATATGCCTTTAACTAAAAATAACAGCATAAAAAAGAAAAAAAAAATCCCCACGTAATTCACTTTTGTGACAGAATTTGGTAAATTTTTATAAATCAAATAATTGACTAAACTGCTTATACAGTCGGGACCTAACTTCAAAAGTAACTAGGAAAAATACTGTCTAAGAATGCATATGAGGACAAGAATGAGTAATGACTAAATCAACAATTTTAAGAGAAGCAAAACCATTTCATTTAATAAATTTGGGGCCATTTCATATTTCCCCCTCTCTGTTATCGCATATACATCTAAAACTACCCTAAGGCCTCTGCCACAATATTTACATTTACAACCATCTCAATCAAATTGTGGATACTCTCCACAAGTTAACAAAAATTAATTTCAGTTCATTTTGTCACAATTATACTCAATGCTTTACACCTACAAAACACAACGCTACTTCAGCTTGGGCCTGAAATTCTGCCAAAATTTCCACAATCTTTTCACGACATAAATTAAGTTCATTCTGCTCCGTAAGCATTTTCCTCAACCTTCAAAAAAGGGGACCGGGTGCAAATATGTTAAAAAAGACATAACAAGCAAATAAACAAAACATGCTAATTCAAAAAAAAAAAAAAATTTAGAACAAAACCCTAGATATGTCTATGCTGCGAGCCTTACTAAATTGACAAAATTAATTGAAACCTCATGCATAATGGACTTGTAGGTTAGCTTCCTTGTTTCAAACAGTAATGTTCATCACAACCGGATCACAATGGCATTGTCTAATGGGTTAAGTCTCCATGGACATTTTCTCTAGCCCAATTCAAGGGTGAACAAGAGGCAAGTTGGGACAACTTTACCTATGTCTCTACCCGACTTGAAATTTTCACAAAGTCTCATTTATTTGAACCAGAACTGGAACGAACCAACTTTTATCAATCTTAACATTATGTATTGTACAATATAAAAAGTACAAAACTTAAAGAATATATACGAACTTTTTTTTTAAATAAATAATTTGATTGTGACAATAATATTATCTTATACAGAATATTATCTTGAACTGGTTTAGAGAAAGCAGTACATCAAACTGGGTTAAAATGTCTCCAACATGACCCCAACTCATCCTTAAAAAATGTATAATTTCAAAACTCAAACCTGTCAAAAGAAACCTCAAACCAGGCCAGATTGTTGGGATGGGCAGGTTCATGCTTACCTTTAAACCAATTAACATAACATACTTTTCTAATCAACACTTGATAATATAGAACCCCAGCCATTCAATTTGTTGGTGCCTCACCAACTACACAGCAGGTTTGAATTGTGTAAATCAATTAGTTCAATGTGATCCTTGGCCCATCAACCACGTGAGGAATCAATAAGTTCGATGAGCAAATCTAGCTCTCAAATTTTAACTAGGGTTGGTGGAATTTCTAGATTTGGACAAATAGAAACTTGAATGGAAATTATGAGGATTGAGGACTAGTATGAAAAAACCACCATTCTAGGGTCATATATTAATTTGTTCCTACATTAATGTAAGGTGAACAATGAATAGCAATTAAAACAAATAAAAAGATCAATTACTTGGATTACAAAAAGGATTGCATATCTACCTGCGGACAATAGCAGTGTCTCCATGACCAGTGAAAATTATCATCATAGCATTTGTGGGTAATGACAAATATAGATTATGAATTCTAGCATCCATCCGAGCCATAATTTCCTTCAGTTCAGCAGGTTCTTTCAACTTAAAGCCGTTCCTTTTAGCAGAATTGTTCTGACACGTTTGCAATGCCATCATCTCTGCAAGTCTTTCATGCAAGCTCTCAGAATCTTCAGCTTGCTTCTTCAAGTACGAGTGTAGCTCCGAAAACTGAGTCCAGATAAAATGTACCTTATCATTCTTCACCTAAAACAACAAACACAAGGCATGAAACAACACCACAAAGTAGTAATAAATGTTAAAAAGAAAGGAAAAAACTTACAAATATAACCAGCTAAAGACATGTACCTCCTTGTTGGTCTTTGCGAGTGCTTCATCATCAGAGGTCACTGGAATTGCATTAGAGGACTCAGAGGCAAACCGTTTTACTATGGATATATCATCAATCAGTGAGGAAGTTTTGCCACACTCACTCAGAATAGAGAGGAACTTTTTCCTTGTAAAGGATGGAGGGGAACCAAACTCAGGCCCTGTTACAAGAGGGTAACAGCAGTAATGTTAACAACCATATAGCAAACCAAGTAATCTTAAAGGGATGACACAAGATAAAACAGTAGATAACTGATTGTTGATAGAAAAATTCTTTATTTTACACCAGTCTTCTCTGTTTCTACTTCCCTCCCCATTTGTTCTGCCAAATTCCAACAAACATCCTATATTTTTTTTTTTTACATTATTACCCTGCTGCTATGATGGCTGTACCCTACACACTCATACACATACTAAGGGTAACAGTTTTGCACATGTGATAAAGCCAATCATCTGCTTTAGCAGATTATATACAGAACTGCATATGTACTTAAACTAGAATGCATTCAAAACTTCCAACATATAGATTACAGCCGCAGCAATAATGCATGAAGAAGAACAGAACTTCTCACCATTTATAATCTTCAATAGTGCCAATTCCAGGGTAGCTCTAGCATCTTCAATGCTGTCATGTCCATTCCCTGATTGTTGTATCTCCCTTGAAAGAAATTTCTTAGCAAGATACCGCAGAGCTTTTTTATGAGACGTTCCTCGGGGGTGTTTGTACAACACTGCTGTGTCTATGACCACATCATGAGATATCTTCAATGCTAATAAATCGTTTTCCAGAGAATGCCCAACAAGGATAGTCTCCTTGTAAACAAACTTTAGGAACACTTCCTGAAAAGGGGAAGCAAATGAAATCAGAAAAACAAATAGTTTCAACTTAAATGATTCAGCACTGGACTAGAAGTTTGAGCCTATTAGCTAAAATAAGACAAGAACAAATCAAGTAGTAGAACCTGAACATCTCTCAGACTTGTCGTCACCCCATCTAACATTGCAGGCGTTATTCCACTAAACCTGCACATCATAATTATAACTTGATGATGCCAATTTTGTTTCAAATCCAATGAAGAAAGAAAAAGAGATAACGCAGAACAATTTCACTTTGTTCTCCTTTTTTAGATTTAAACTTATTTTATGCTTTTTGACTTATTTACTTTCATTGCAAATAGAAAAGAGTATCCCACCAAGACCAAACAACAACATATAATACTCTCAATCTACATGAGTTTCTAGCACTAGAAAGTTGACAACATTCTGATGTGTTATTCTCAGCATTTTGATTGCCCTGGATCATTCCCCAAGATCATTAGGGTACCTAATTATATCCATTTAATCTATTCATTTTCATAAAAAAATTGAACACCATATAAGATGAAAACCAAACCCACGAGCCTCATATATTTATGCAAGAACATAGTGTTGGTTGGATGAAACTTAAGGAAAGAGGAAGGCATGGGAGGGAGGGATTTTTATAAACATTTGTTTTGTTCAATTTTATAAAAGGGAGGGGAGAAAAATCCCTTCTCGTTTAATTTTTGTTCCCCTCTAATCCTGGGGATCTAGAAGCGATTTAAAACATTTTAAATATAATGCTTTTGAAATTTAAAACTATAAGGGTGCGAACGGAAACTAATTTTTAACCCCCCATTGTTAACCAAACAAGAACAGGACTACCTTGCCACCCCTCCTAAAAGCAAACAGTTCTAAGCAAATAATATAAGATTTTACAAAGAGAAATGACCGTGGGAGTCTCAGCACAGAATTACTCCTGTCTGAAGGGAAAAAGAAAAAAGAAAAAAAAAAAAGAGAGATACATTAGCACTTCGAAGCAACGAGTATGGCTGTATGGGTAACTTCTAATTTTTGTAGAACTTACAGATGTGAGAAAATCATTACAACTAAAAAGAAATATACATGACTCATGTGAAAATGTAAATTGTAAGTATCTGAAATTTAAGATTATAAGTATCTGAGATTTAAGATGAAAAGGAAAATTGTCACTTAAAAAGATAAATTTAAATGTAATTAAAGCTGAGAATTGAAAGGAAATATGTCTTAATGCAAAAGGAAAACTTTAAAACAACTAATAATTCAAGAATTATTTTATGATATAAAAGCAAGTGCTAAATAATGGTGAAACCATGTGTCATGAATGGAAAAATTCATTGAAAGATGTCCTCAAAATCAAAAATAGGGACTCAAATTTATAATGTTGGTGTTGATTAGATCAACTTATGATTTATACAATTTATTTAGCAGTAGCATTTTTTATTTCCAATATTAAATAGCTTATTCCGGCACATTGACTGATACTCAAATAACAGCATACCTTGTGTTGTAATCAATGATATCATTTAACGGTTTAACCAATTTATCTATCAAAACCTGAAAAGATAAATCTTAGAAATTAAGTCATCACTGTGCAAGTAAATGTTCCCAATTTTAAAGAATCGACCAAGCCTGAAAATGTAAAATGTTCACTTCAATTTCTTAAATATTGTCAATAAAACAGAATAAAAGACACCAAAACAGAATCTGTAAATAATAGCATTTAGTCTTTTACTGACAAGTATGTATAGCTTCATTAACAGTTAAAAAGTTAGTTCTTTTCGAATGGCCAAAAGAACAATTGTCAAAAAAAGCAATGACTAGCAATATAACTGTTTTGTTAAAAAAAGTTCTCAGGAAACAACTTCCTAGTTATATGCAGCGCACTATAGTGCCACTGTTGCAGAGGAGCATTGGGGAGCAGCCTTGAGAAGCTATTTATTTATTGTAACAAAGTGTTTTGAAGTAGTGGAATCACAGTCACATATTGTGACTGCTACCATGGAAAATCCAAGTATTTGTAGCTGCTATTCTTTCACAAGGAGAAAACCAATATTTTTTCATTCTAATTTGTGCACCATTGAAGCCTTTTTTTGGTTCTTTTTCTCATCTTCCCATGTTTGACATATGATTTGGGATAACACACCTTTGTTTCACACTTGGCTATTTGAGCCCTGCAATCCAGAAACATGGCTATGGCTGACCTCCATATCTGGCCACTGACCCATCACTCCAGCATCATTTCAGGCCAATCCCAAATTTTATTTAGCATCTATGTTTCTTCCCATGTCAAGTTCAGAGTGGCAGGGCTTCATGTGTTCTACTATTTTATTTTCAGACAGGTTTGTGTATCCATATTTTCAAGAGGTTTCGATTTTAATTCTTTCTCCTATATGTTCCTTTGTTTTTTATGGTCACTTATGTACTAAGCTCAAGACTACGAGTTTCTAATATTAATTATAAATGTTTTTTACATAATTTTTCCATTTCTGAGCATTTATATCTATGGATGTTAAATTATTTAATTTGTATTTATATTCTTCAAAATAGTGGTCATCATGCCACGCACTATCCCGCTATAGGAGTATTGTGGGCAGTCACTACACCTAAGAATGATATTCATAACTATGATTTCAAATTCAACAAGCCTCGCGAAGGAAAGGACATGCTAACTTGTATATATCTCAATGGAAATAGATACTACATAAATAAACACAAGATATAAAGAATTAGAATAAGAATATGGATAGTTATTTATTGAAATTTTAAAAATAATGACCATTCCTCGGAAAATGAGTAACATATGCATTTACTTCACAATAAACTAGTTCAGAAAACAAATTCAGTGAATACCTGTCCTTTGATGTCCACTAGAGTAATTCTTGTCAGCTCAAAACCCTCAATTGTTATGCACTTCGCAAATGGAAAAACAAGAAGATTGATCAAATTGCATGTGTACAGGAAATACATAAAAAAAATGCTTAACTATAATTTGTCTCAAATATAGAATGAAGTTTTTGCACATGAATTCCAATAAAACGACAGTCAATATAATTCTCAGATATGCTAGCATAACATGCAGTTCATGTATCACATCTTAAATGCATTTAGTTTTCACAGGAATTGTAAAATCGAACAAGTTTATCATCATCCATAACTTCATTTTTAAGTGATAAAAACATCATTATCTTTAAACCAAAACTGGTATTGATTAACTTACCATCTCACAATCAAGTGCCACTAACTCATAAAAGGGAGATCCCAAAGGTGCAGGCAAAGTAGAAAGAAAACCTATAGTCAAACAGGGCCAGGCATATAAAAACTTGTCCAGTAAGCAAAAAATACATAAAGATTAACATATATAATTGGTAGCACAGTAAAAATCACCTGGCTGATTTAAAGAATATCCATTCTCTTCCAGCTCTTTCTCAGTTAATGTATAGTATGTAACAGGAAATGGTATGTCTTTTGAAAGCTCAGTAAACGATAGACTGTCTGTAGCACGACAACCTTCTTCTGCATGAAGATTTCACGTTTCATAAAGTGATTAAATTTGTATAGGTTTCAGGTTATATAATTTCAAAGGAATGATACCAATGCATACATGTTTGTGACCAAATCGAACAGCTCAAATAAAGTTGCTCCAAATGGATAAAACAACACACTAGCCTTCACTTGTATATTCAAAATTTGTTTATTTAATTTATAGGACGGTAGTCTTAAAATGAATTCAAAATTAAGAGAAAATGTTATAGGGTTATCGATTAGGCATAGAATTGAAATCTCACAAACTTACATCACAATTGAGAGTGAACCATGAGAAAAGTTACAAAACTATATTGTTTCTCTAAATATGTGTATCAGAAGTAAAAAAAATTAAAAAAACTACTGAGAAGGAGCCTGTTTTACTAGCTTACTTAACTGGGATTAGATTGTAGATAATAAACAAACATGTGAACATATTTCCACAAATATTATATCGTATACTATAGAGTAATAATAAGACAATATTGTAAACCATCATTGTCAAGTTCATGTCAAGTATAATGAAGAAGTTTAACTCCCCACCCCCAAAATATTACATATATACAATCTGACAAGTCAAGCCTAGGAAATTTGAATCTGATGGTTTACTTTTTCAACTGTACACAATAATTTTAGCAGAAATTATTCCAGATTACACTATTTCCTTTAGCTATGTCACAAAACTTTTCAAGAATAATTAGTAGGCAAAATAAGGATTTATGCAAACAATGTGAGGACTTTAGGTTCCAGTCATAGTTGTATACTTAATTTGAATGGGGAGAGTATAAAATAATAAGTCAGTCCAGGTGCATTATTGACAAGATAACATCTTAGATAATTGCCACTCCAGGAATTTTTTATCAACAAGTTGTCTAAAGAACCTTAAATTCAACACCTACTTCCCTACAAAGAGAAACATTTGCATATATTGATTTGATAATAAAAACCTTGATTAGATTTCAGCGCAGACTTCCCGGTTAGTGAACTATTCTCGTCCCTTTTTCTTTTTATTTTGCATGTTAGGAGTGCATCTATCGTCTGCATACCATCTGACACACAGCTAGCAAGGGAGAAGAAAAAAAAATTTAAGTGCAGAGGAATAACATTTTCAAGGAAACAATAAGTAAATACATTTTCTACACACCTAAGAGCTAGGACAGGTCTTGGCTTGCCACAGATTTTTTTCAAATTGCGAAGCATTTTAGACAACGACAAGAACAAAGCTGCATCTAGGCCTGGCATATAGAGCATAACCACTTTGGGAATAAGAGGTTTATTCTGCAAATCATGAGAGTGCTGCATTAGTGATTGTGACAAAATAAAATGTGAAATGCCATATAGGGTTAATATTGATGGTCTATTGTTATTTTAAATTGGCAAGAAAGATAGCTAATTTGTTTTTTTTTTTTTTTTGGAAAGGATCAGCCAATATGTATTTAATCTTAACGCTTTTAGGGTAGTCTAACAACCTTTACCAAATTCAGTGGCATGCTCTTAAAAAAGATTGATAAAAATATTCATCTTGTTAAAGTAACAAAAAGCTAGTACTTGAAATAGAAAAAGGAAAATAAAGAACTGATTTTGAGAGCTTGAAATCATCTTCTTGTGTTCTCTTATTTATAGGAGATAAAAATACAGATTCAGAGATACAATTAATAGAGAGATATGATTAATCCTAGAGAAGATAAACAGATGCATTCTAGGAACTAGGTCTACAACTAATCTCATAAATGCCCAACAAGATACAATTAATCTAATTAAATACTTCAACACTCCCCCTCAAGCTGGAGCATACAAATTGAATGTACCAAGCTTGGAACAAATGAATTCCATTTGAGGTCCTCTCAGATTTTGTTAATGCATCTGCAAGTTGATCATTGGAACCAACAAACTCAGTACAAATTTCTTTAGTCAACAACTTCTCCCAAATAAAGTGACAGTCAATCTCAATATGCTTAGTCCTCTCATGAAATACTGGGTTGGAAGCAATGTGAAGAGTAGCTTGATTATCACAATACATCTTCATAGATTGAATCTCACAGAAGTTCAATTCTTGCAAGAATTGTTTTACCCAAACAAGTTCACAAGTAAGAGACGTCATTGCCCTATATTCAACTTCAGTAGAGGATCGGGCAACAACGTTTTGCTTTTTGCTTTTCCATGAAATGATATTTCCTCCAAAGAAAACACAATAGCCTGTAGTGGAACGCCTATCCATAGGAGATCCAGCCCAATCAACATCACAATACCCAAAAATTTGACTATTTCCCTTATCTTCATATAATAAACCTTGTCCTGGAGCTTTTTTAATGTATCTTAAGATTCGAATGATAGCATTCCAATGATCCACACAAGGAGCTTGCATAAATTGGCTTACAACACCAACTGCAAAAGACAAATCAGGTCTAGTAATCGTCAAATAAATAAGTTTCCCAACCAGTCTTCTATATCTTTCTGGGTCAGAGAAAACTTCACCCTGTCCTGCCATTAACTTCAAATTTGGATCCATAAGACAGTCCACAGGTTTGCAATCAATCATACCTGTCTCTTTTAGAATATCTAGAGTATACTTCCTTTGAAAGATGACAATACCTTCTCTTGATTGAGCTACTTCAATACCCAAGAAATATTTTAGATTTCCAAGATCCTTGGTCTGAAAATGACTACACAAGTGCTCTTTTAGTTGAGATATTTTAGCAGCATTATTCCCTGTGATGACAATATCATCAACGTACACAATTAAATAAACATGTTTGTCAGGGGCAGTGTGACAATAAAACACTGAATGATCTGCTTCGCTGCGTTTTAATCCAAAAGCTTGAACAATAGAGCTGAATTTTCCAAACCAAACACATGGAGACTGTTTTAGGCCATAGAGGGATCGACGTAATTTACAAATCAAACCAGACTCCCCCTGAGCAACAAATCCAGGAGGTTGCTCCATGTAAACTTCTTCTAAGTCACTGTGCAAAAAAGTATTTTTAATATCCAATTGATGAAGAGGCCCATGGCGGCCATGGCAAGGAACAGGCGGACAGTGGTCATTTTGGTTACAGGAGAAAAAGTATCACAATAATCAAGTCCATATATTTGAGAGTACCCTTTAGCCACTAACCTGGCTTTAAGACGATTAACCTGACCATTGGGCCCAACTTTAATAGCATAGATCCAATGACAACCAACTGTTTTCTTTCCCGAAGGGAGAGGAACAAGCTCCCATGTTTTGCTGTGATCAAGAACCTGCATTTCAGAAATCATGGCTTGTCGCCGTCCAGGATGATCAAGCGCTTCGACCACATTTTTGGGAATTGTAATAGAGGATACAGAGGAAATAAATGAACAATAGGAAGGAGACAATCTATGATAACTAAGAAAATTGTAAATGGGATGAGGATTACGAGTAAAACGAGTACCTTTGCGAATGGCAATGGGCCAACTGGAGTCATCGTTATCAGGAGCCGTGGTATTAGAGGATGATGGAGAAGGACCTGTTATGGATGGCTCATCTTGGGGAATGGGATTGTTCACCTGGTTCCTGCGTTGATAGGTGATGATAGGCTGTGATGATGATTCTAGAGTATATTGGTTGGGATTTGGGGTGTCAGGAATATGAGGTACAAATGATTCAACTAAGGGAACAGGAAAAACATTTTGGACAGAATCAATATCCTGCATAGAATAAGGGAAGAAGGATGATGATTCAAAAAAAATAACATTAACAGACATGTAGTACCTCTTGGTTTCAGGAGAATAACATCGATATCCTTTTTGAAGACGAGAATACCCCAAGAAGACACATTTGATAGCTCTAGGTAAGAGTTTATCTAAGTCAATAGACATGTCATGAACAAAACATATACATCCAAATACCCTAGGAGAAACATGAAAAATTGGTTCTTTTGGAAATAGAATAGAGTGTGGAACTTTATTATCAAAAAAGATGATGACATTCTATTAATGAGAAAACATGCAGTTAGAATAACATCTCCCCAATGATGAATAGGCATATTGGCACCAAGCAATAAGGTACGAGCAGTTTCAACCAAATATCTATTTTTTCGTTCTGCTATACCATTTTGTTGTGGTGTGTGAGGACACGTGGACTGGTGTAAAATGCCTTGAGAATTTAGGACATTAGAAAAATCATTAGAAAAGTACTCTTTGGCATTATCACTTTGTAAAACTTTGATTATTTTTCCAAATTGAGTTTTGATTTCATTAAGGAAAGACTTAAAGATAGGCAATAGTTCAGAACGATCTTTCATAAGATAAATCCAAGTACATCTAGAAAACCCATCAATAAAAGTAACAAAATATCTAAAACCAAAAGATGAAACACGACTAGGTCCCCATATATTTGAATGAACAATACTTAAAGCAGAATCACATCTAGATTCAGAATGATTTGGAAAGGATGACCTGGTATGTTTCCCTAGTTGACAGGATTCACATTCAAAAGTTTGAAGGTTCTGAAGTTCAGGAACCATTTTTTTCAATTTTGCTAAATGAGGATGCCCTAATCGCTCATGTAACAGTTTTGGGGATAAGGATGCAACACAAGATACAGATGACTTAGTCCTAAGGTAGTATAAGCCTCCAGATTCATGTCCTTCTCCAATCAGTCAACCCATACCACGTTCCTGGATAACAAAACAATTGGCATTAAAGGTTACTGAGCAATTCAATGATTTGGTTAATTGGCTTACAGAAACAAGACTGAATGAAAAAGAAGGAACACAAAGAACATTTTGAAGGTTTAAAGAAGAAGAGATGGATACTTGACCAATTCCTTTAGAGGCTACTTTAGATCCATTAGCTAAAGATATGAGATGGGAGGTTTTAGGAAATGAAAGAGAGGAGAATAAAGAGGTATTACCAGACATGTGGTCAGAAGCACCTGAGTCAATAATCCACGGATTTTGACTTTCCACAGATTGCGAAATACAAGCGGTTGACGAATTTGGTGTTGTAGATGCTTGAGCCAAATTGGTTGATTTCATCCTTAAATATTCTTGATACTCTTCATGAGAGAACTTGGGCTCATCAGCTTCAGATTTTGAGATATTAGCTGCCTTATCGGGAAATCCGTGCAAAGCAAAGCAATTTTCCTTAGTATGTCCTATTCTTTTGCAATGAGAGCACTGAGGACGTCCTTTCCTACCACATCCTCTAGAGCTGTGATTACCTCTTCCACGAGCAGAAATCATGGCGGAAGAATCAGCAAGTTCCTGACTGTTTTTGCTTTTGATAGAAGGAACACGAAGTAGCCTTGTGATTAAACTCTCCGTAGAAGGAACTTCTTCTCCAGTTAGAATATGGTCTCTAACATGATTAAACTCTGGATTAATAGCCCTAAGAATCATTACCATATAGAATTTATCCAACTTCGTCTTTCTTTCCTCTAATGATTTTGCCTCCAGGAACATTTTTAATTCTTCAACTGTTGATTGAGCTTCAGCAACAAAGGACATCATGGAATTATCCTCTTGCTTAAGGGAGGCTAGTCTATATTAGCAGAATCATAAAGTCGTTGAATATCATTAGCAAAGATATTTTGGGCCTTTTTTCCAAAAAAAATTACATGTCTTGAAGGATCAAAGAGTGCTCAAAATATTTGGTTCAACAGATTGCCATAATAGTGCAAAAAGTTGATAATCCAATTTCTTCCATTGAGGAGCCTGATCTACTAGTTTAGTACTTTCATCTTCTTCTAGATGATCATGAACTCCTTGACTTAGAAACCAAAGCTCAACAGAGGAAGCCCAAGACAAATAATTTTTCCCATTTAATTTTTTTGTGGTTATAGTCGGAGTCCCAGAAAAAGATACAGACACAGGTCCTGACAGTTTCCAGGAAACAAGAAAGGACCAGCGTGCTGTCTATGGAAGCAGAGAGAGGACCGAGAGAGGCAGAGAGAAAAAAAACGCAGACCCACCATGTTTTGTGACAGACAACACAAAACAAAGTGCATATCTGGCACCAGGGCGACGAGGCGAGCCGGATAGAGGTGACTTGGAGCAAAACAGTCACCGGGAGGGCGGCGCGTGAGGCTCACACGCGGAGGAAGCCGCGGACGAGGGTGGCGTGTGGCGGCGCGTGAGGCAAAGACGGAGGAAGCGATCACTAGGGGTTGGGTCGCGCTCCTCGAGGCGAGCCTAACCCAAGTGTCAGAGAGAGAAATGGCGCTAGAGAAGTACTGCACCGGCGGCGAACGGCGGCGAACGGTGATTAATGCCAAAAAAAAACAAAGACAGGCAGAGCGGGATGAACCCGCTCTGATACCAACTTGAAATAGAAAAAGGAAAATAAAGAACTGATTTTGAGAGCCTGAAATCATCTTGTGTTCTCTTATTTATAGGAGATAAAAATACAGATTCAAAGATACAATTAATAGAGAGACATGATTAATCCTAGAGAAGATAAACAGATGCATTCTAGGAACTAGGTCTACAACTAATCTCATAAATGCCCAACAAGATACAATTAATCTAATTAAATACTTCAACACTAGTCATATAAAACATTCAAAGCCAGTTAGAGGCCCCAGTAAAATGATATTAAGCAGAACCACTTGATAAAGATCTAATCTCCCCTTCCTGCACTCACCACCACTATATAGCATAGACCATAACTCATGTAATATAGAGAAACAAATGAAGATATGAAACATTTTACTGCACAAATAGAAGAATAACAAAAAAAAAAATATTCAGATCACTACTAGTGAAACAGGAATCTGCGGTGAAGAATGTTCACTGCCGATGTCCATCATTACTACTATCATCTAGTAGGAAGGGGGAGGGAGTACCCCTATTGCATGATAAGGTCACGCCACCAGGTTTATTAAGTGCTTATATCGAGGCATTTACAGATCATATATACCAAAGGGGATTGTTGGCAACAGGAATCGAACCTAAGTCTTTCAAGCAAATGCTTTGATCTTAACCAAATTTGTATCAATTCCTATTTTCAATTCCTAAAATCAAAAGCATCTACCAGTAATGCATTTATAGAAGTAATAATTGAATGGTGTGCAAACTCCATTTTCTTCTCTCTGGCATAACAAGAGTGGATCAAGGAGCTAAAAGAATATTTGCCCACATTCCTCCAATAAAAGGAATGTCCTATTGCAAAGCATATTATACTAAATGATTAAATTATGTTACAATCATTAAAAAAAGTTTGGACATTGGAGTGACAGGTATGTATGATACTTGAAAAAAAATATATATATATAGAGTGAGAGAGAGAGAGAACTTAAACATGAAGTGACTAAAAATCAGTGTCTTACCCACTAGTGTGTGTGTGTGTGTGTGTATAGGAGAGTACAAGTACACAATAACAGGTAAGGCTTCAAAAAGTAATAAAACTGTAAGTACAGAAATAGAATAATTCTTTATTTCCTAACTTATTGCATTAATAATTCAAAATTTTCAACAATATTTCCCATTAATGAAATTTAAAACTTAAAAGGAAAAATCACTTTTTGTTTTCATTCATCAGTTTGCTTTGTCTCTCCTTTTACTAGTGTATTAAATCCCAGATAGTGACACTGCTATAAGTGAGATAGATAGCAGATAGCAACTTTTTTGAAAATTTTTACTTAGTTTATGTATATACATATAACTGTCAAAGATGAAACAATTAGTCAAAATTCATGATATTCATAATCAACAGCAAAAAGCAACAGGTTAAAGCAAAACAAGTATATACAAACAATGTCAAATATAATTTTCCTAGATATGAATCATCAATCCCCATCTTCTAATTCAAGTTTTCTTTATCGTTTTCACTACTATTAGAGATTTAAATCTTTGAAATTTAATCCAAAAGTAGCCCTCCCGAGAGGCCTGATGTCTCTGTTGAGAGGGCTTTCTTCGGAATAAACACATAGTGCATCTATCCCATCTGCAACAACTACTACTGCATCGGCTATTACAGCTAAACTAAACTGTACAACTCTGCTGCTATAGCAGCATTGTAGCACACTATTTTAAACCCTGCCTTTGCCAATGTCTACCTCATATCTACAAATGGTGCTTTCACCGTTGCATTTCATCTCTCCACCCCATGTATTTTTTCTGTGACCATCTGAACAGTAAGTAAGCACATCCACTGACAATTTTTTTGCAACATCCAGTCACAAGAGACTTGGTTTGTGACTCCTTAGTGGCTTTTTGCCTTGCTATTCCAGTATTAACAATGATACAATTCACATTGTTCCCACAACCAAGAAAGCAGTTTGGAAAACAAATGTCAAACAACTAGAAATAAAATTTATCTGATCATATTTTCTGTTACAAGGGTATTTGTTGGTGGAAATAAAATATATTTTTGTACCTTAATAAAAACCCATGACGGCATAAATCCTTCACCAAACACCCAAGTTATAAGTCCTTGAATATCCTGCTTCACCATATAAATCTCAGTTATTACTGCTTTTGATTAAAATTTCAAAGTCACCAATGGATGTAAAAAATTACATTAAGATCAAGAGTTGAATTATCCTCTGGTGACTTGAATACAACATCTGCCTTAGCCTGCAAAAGCACATTAATCAACTCCTTTTAATCATGCACCAACAACACAAAATCCCATGAAGAAACAAACAGCAGAATGTAACAAGACAAATTGGCAGTTTAGGACAGCATTTAAAGGGACAGTATACCTATCAGTTCACAGCAAACCACATGGCTTGGAGAAAAAAAAAACTAGTATTGAATAAATAGAATAAAAAACCAGCCAGCTCCTTAACAGACTAAAGGGGGAATTCGGAACTCTCAAACCTTTTCACCCCAGCTGGACTGCACAAACAATTCTGAATTTGTTAAGAAAATATTATTGCATGTTGTTAAAAAGAATATCAAATGAATTGTTTTAACTCAAACTACCACTTATCCCCTCCCAGAGCAACCAGCACCTCCTCGTGATTAAAGTCACATTTTTATTTTTCTTTATAGAAAAAAAAAAAAAAAAAACCTCAAACATAACATCCAGGAGATGAACGAAAACAAAACCTTCTCCTGATAAGTTAAAAGAAGTTGAAAGAACAGATACATTGAATAGAAAAACAAAGATACGAAAATATACTTCGGGTCCATAAACATCGTAGAACTGGGCGGATTTTTTGTTAGCAGTAGAATCCTCTTCTTCAACGCCGCGCAGGGCTTCGGAGGAAGTCATTCTCTTTGCGGCTACTGCCTGGGGCATGATTCGTAGTAAGGAGCCAACACAAAATTTATCTGTTTAGTCTTACGGGTCGGGTACGGTATTTTTTCATGGGTCAGCCCAAAGTAAAAGCTTCACGATCCCTTCTTGTTAAATTTTTTCATCAATGCAATGACCGGAAAAGCGAGTTTCAATCATTTTATAATTTTGTAATTTAATAATTTATTTTATTTATTATATTATAAGAAAATAATTTAATAATAAGACAAAAATAATTTTTTAAAATAATTTAATTTCTTCTCTAAAATTATTATATTTGTTATTATTTCATTTGTCGATTTCCCCAACTTTTGAATATATATTTATATCCATATTTTTTGTATAAAAACATACTACAAATTTTGATGATAAATTTATTTATTAAATAAATTTATTTTAATTAATTAAATTTTTAAATTAAAAAATTTTGTATTTAATCATATAAATTATTTATCAGTTAAACTAAGACGACAATTTAATTATATAAATAGTATATTGTATAAATATATCTTCTAAAATATTACACTTGAATTAAGTTTTAATAAATTTATTGATATAAATAAAATTATTAATACGAATAAATATTTTATAAATACTTTAATTGGGTTTGGGCAAAGAAGTTATAATCCAAATCTATTTTATAATGTTTTGGGTCTAAGTTTTTAAATTACTATAATCAAAATCGAATCAATATAAATAATATAAATAATAATAATAATAACAATAATAATAAATAATCTAAAATTTATTTAATTTTTTAATCTATTTATTTACAGATCAATTTGATTCAAATTTTGGATTGAAAATTAAGAATTAACTTAAATATTTATATAAACAAAAAATTGTGCCTACTTTACACACACACACACACATATATATATATATATATATATATATATATATATATATATATATATGAAATTTTGAAAGTGTTTCCTCCATGGATAAAATGAACCGACTTTTGCAAACTTTCAAATTATCAACTTATCCATTATTTGGTGTTATTATTGCAACAACATCACCTTTAAGACAAAAGCTACGAAATAATTTCAGAACCCTATCTATTTATTTTTCTTTTCAATATTATAACTAAATTATACATAAATACGTTACGTAAGTGAGCATCCTATCGATATCGTTTAAGAAAGAATCACCTTTCTAAAAATATATTCAATGAACTAAAAACAATTATTATTATTTTTTAATAAATTGCAATAGACAAAAAGTGGCATTAAATATTGTTACTTTGGAAGCATTCTCCTTTAAGAGGGAGGGAGAAAAAGAGCATGAAACATGTTCATAAATCATCATCGTTGTCTTTGGTTTTTCCTGTAAAATTCATAATCATTTAAATAAGGTAATTTTGTTTTTATATATCAAACTTATTTAGATAAGATAGTCTATAGTCTTAAGAAAATTTCAATTTAGATCTTTAAAAAAAATATATAAAAAATACACCCAAAAAAAATAATTTTTTTAAAAATAAATCCCATCATTCATGTTAGAATAAATATCAGTTAAATAAATGTGAAGTATTATAAGTTAATGTTGTAATAATAAAAAACACATAACTTTTAAGTAATTTCAATCATTCTTCTTCTTCTATCTTCGGATTTGAAAACAACATTTTACTTAAGCAAAACATTGACATTTTGTCATATGTTACCACTACAATGAAATTAGTATCAACAATGATGAAGATGGAAAGAGGCTCAAAGAAATAATAAAAGCGAAGAGGTTAGATTAAAGAAGAGAAAGAAGGTAGAAGTTGGGTAGTTTTTTTAACAAACCAAATGTTAGACAAATATGAACCTGAAGTTATCTGCCAAATTATAAAAAATCAGTTATATAATACATGGAAAAAGAGGTGTGGTTTAGGTCCAATTTCTGATGAACTGGAAAAGGAAATAGAGAAGAGAAAGATTGCATTGCAAAGGTTCTATCGCATTTATTGTAGCAACGCAATGCCTGCTGTTTCTCTCTCTGCCCGTGGAACTTACTCATTTTGTTTCACATGAGATCAATATGATAAACGTGGTGTTTTGGACTTCTGATTTTAGATAAGAAAAGAGTAATTTTTCATTATTCGTTAGATCAATTCTGAGATATTATGTGTTATGGAATTTTTGTTATTATGATTTTGTTTTTAGAAATTGTGATAATAGAAAAAAAAGGTTTAATATGAGACGGATGAGTAAATCAGATCAATAGATGATAATATTTAACAATAAAATAAAATAAAATAAAAATATTATAATATTCTTATAATTCATAATGACATGGTTAATTGAGACAAACATTATCAACAATATATAAGTCCATAACTTTTGTTTTTATCTTGATTCTTAACCAATATTTAACTTGAGAAAAGTATATTTAGATCCAAAATATATCAGTCTCGTGAAAGAAAAAAAGACACATGAACACTCATGTTAAAACCTGTCACATATCAACCAAGTTCCCATTAGTAGAGTGTAGTGTTTCAAAGAGAATAAAGACTTCACATTTACTTGTAGGGTTCACACTTAGGGTCTGCTTAATAGAATACAAAGAAATAAAGCAGAGTAACCAAAATTATCTTTTACGTTTCTTAAACCATGAGAGAGGACCTTGAGCACTTTGGTTGAGTTTAGAGCACGTTGGCCTTAACTGCATGAATGCTACATTATGATCTGCATTCATTTGGGTTTGGTGCAAATAATATTTAAGGACACACACTGTCTTTGAAGCAAAAACGGTTCTCCCATCGAATCCTCGTGGATGAGGTCAAATACATTCTTCTTTATTCTACTTCCCAAAGCAGTTACCTTGCAATTCTTCCATTTCACTATATATAATCCTCCTAGAACCTCTGCAAACTACCCCTCATTGTAGCCAGTTATGAGTTACCTACCATTACTAAAGAAACCACTCCTTCTTTAGACACTTTCTTTCCTTTCTTCAATTCTCATTGATATTTCTCTCACATCCAAGCTTCAACATCATGGATATTGCGCATTTCTTGTTCGGCATATTTGGTCAGTTATTACTTTTTATTTTCAGATATGGGTTTCTCTTATCTTCTTCATTCAGGTTGCATTTGCATACCCTTCTTGTCTGTGTTCTTGCTTTCTCAAATTTCTTTTTGTTGTGCAGGGAATGCTTCTGGTTTGTTCCTCTTCTTGGCCCCAATGTATGTTTCTCATAACTGTCTCTTTATCTCCCTTCCCCACCCCATGTTCGAAATTCTTAAATTTATTTTTCTTTCTCTCTTTATAATGCACATGGAATCATATTTTTGTGTGCTTAGAGTACCCATTTGAGCAAAAGTCATGAGAAATTTGGTTTTGTAGCGTAACATTCAAGAGGGTCATTGCGAACAGATCCACAGAAAAGTTCTCGGGCGTTCCTTACCCTATGACACTGCTCAACTGTCTCCTTTCTGCTTGGTAATTTTCTCCCAGTTCTTTTAACTCTTTTGCTCTATCTTTACTATAAATCAACCTTTTTCTTTCGATTTTGTGTTGCTTTTAGTTTTAATTTCTTCCATTTCCCTTTATTTTGCATCATCTTCATGTGAATTTCACATGGCCAGAGGGACATAACATTTATCCATAGACAGTAGTTTCAATAAAGGAAAAAACAAATTTACGTAGTTTTGACAAATAGTGGTTGATTTTTTTCTCATTGCCCAAATATTTGTTTAGAAATTATGCCTATTCTATTCTTTCTTGCTAGTACACAGGGTACACCTTTTTGCTTATTTTCTGAAATTACTTTTCAAGTGGGTTGATTCTAAGCTAGTTAAGTTTTTTATTTTCCATGGTCTGATTCTTTTGACTGTATTCCACAAACCACTACACACAGGTATGGTTTACCATTTGTGTCCCCACACAACATACTAGTGACAATAATCAATGGCACAGGAGCAGTGATTGAAATCATATACGTTTTCATCTTCGTGTTGTTCGCGCCCAAGAAAGAGAAGGCCAAGATTCTTGGCCTTTTCTCCTTCGTGGTGGCAGTGTTTTCTGCTGTCGTTTTGGTGTCCCTGTTAGCTCTGCATGGAAATGCCAGAAAACTCTTCTGTGGCTTCGCTGCTGCAATATTTTCCATTATCATGTATGGGTCACCCCTCTCCATTATGGTAAGCTAAGTTCACAATTTCTATATTGAATAATTTCATTTGTCTATTTCTCACATCCTTATCATGTTATTATGGCACGGCCAACTTGACCTGTCTCTTCATTTTCCCTTTTCTTCTGTTGGCAAGTTCCTTTTCAGGTTGTCTTTCTAGTTAATCATTATTTTATGAATGTCTCACATTTTTTTTTTCTTTTTTTGGTTCCTTCAATCTATTATCACTCTTATTTAATTGAATTTCATAATGCATCATTGCACGCTCTTGGTTTGAATATTTTAAATACAATTATTTTGTAAACTCCTGTGATTTAAGAGGGTATATGTGATTTAGGTAAAAGATTACGTTGATATTATTTTGAAAACATAACTGCATTGTACGTGTGCAGAGGCTAGTAATCAGAACCAAGAGCGTGGAGTTTATGCCCTTCTTCCTGTCTCTGTTTGTCTTCCTCTGTGGCACTTCTTGGTTCATCTACGGTTTACTAGGCCGTGACCCATTCGTTGCTGTAAGTGTGGCACACCCATAGATATTCTTATTCGTTTGTGAGCTTTACGTGGATCAATGGAAACCCTTTTGTGGTGACGTAGACTCATATAACTGACAAACCCTGTTTTGTTCTGCACTGTAGGTACCTAATGGCGTTGGTTCAGTGTTGGGGGCGACGCAACTAATATTGTATTTTATATACCGTGACAAGAAAAGTGGTCAGGAGCCAACACAAGAAGAAGGAACCATGGAGATGTCAAACCAGACCAACTCCAATGGAACAACCACCCAAGAGGGACACGTCTAGCGATACATGCCAGCATTAAGATCACCTCTTTAATTTCGACAATGCTTATATTTTAGTTGTCGTTGTTGTCTCTGTTCCCTCAATCATTTGGATCATGCTTTTCTTTAGTGTAAGTTTAGCCATTGATGCTCTCCAAGTTTGTGTGGTGTGGTTTTTCTTTATCAGTTCCTTGGTTGAGACACTTACTAGCTATCTTTTGTCTGGAAAAAAATTTGAAAAGAAGGAAAGAATATATGTGAATATATAGTTATATGTTTATGCCAACATCATCATGTTGTTTTTTATTATATTATTGTTTCTCTGTATATATAGAGTTGTATACTAGATAATTCATTATTTTTCAATTTAAACACATGCCATTAATATTTTTATTTATTATTAATAAGTTTTTAAATTAAACAATGAGATAACTATTTACGAAGATGTTGAAGAGTTAGGAAGTGTAGTTTCACTAACAATATTATATTTTTTTCTTACTTGATTGTTTGTGTTTTTATACATTAGATTGAACATTTTAAAAATTTGCATGAACTTAATTGCTTAATTCTTTAAAGAACACTTACATTTTTTTGGAAATATTTTTAAAAACTATTTAATAATTTTTTACTTATTAAAGTACATATTAATTGATTATTTTCAAAATTTTATACTCAATAAAAAAATTTAGATTTTAGATAATATTAATAAATGATGTTTAAAAAAATATGTATATAATTGTCTTAATTATATTAAAAATCTTTAAATATTACTTATTAATATATTTATTATTATTATTATTATTAAAAATAATGATTTTTTCTGTTTTTAAAATTGTGTATTTGAGTAAGTTTTAATTATAAAGAGGGTTTTGAAAGATAATTTTTTATATTTTAAAAGAGAAACTCTTATATAAATTTTCGAAAATCGAACTATTTAATTATTATATTTTGTATAGAATTTCTTGATATAATATCATTCTAACTTCGTTGGAATTTTTTCTTCGTGTCTAATATAACCTTTAAGAATAAAATCCTTTTAATCTTTAGCCTCCAACATAAACTTGAAGATAATCTGCTAAAACTAGCTGCTCAATACTCTCATACCATTCATTCATTCACACCCACAGTTTCTTCCAGAAAAACCCTAATCGAAACAAATGAAACCCCAATAGTGAAAAGTGGGAATACTGAGAAAACCGTCTTCTACTTTATCAACTCCTCTCTCCTTCATCAACCCCCAATCCTGCAACACCGTCACAAATATAGCTAGTTGCCCCACCATGCTGAAGTACACAAGTCCTACGAAGTCAAAAAGCCTTACCAAAACAAAAATCGACAAACCCATCACTCTTCACGCCATATTAAGTGTGTAGGGTTTGTTTCATACACCTCTTTCACGTTGCAAGAAGATTCTCCATTTATATCTTGGAGGGTTTGTGCCAGAGGCCAACTTTATCTGTGACGAAATAGAGTTGGCAATTGAACGGGGTGTCAACAGATTTTATATTACACATTAAAATGAACTTGAATTTTGATGAAATTGTTCGGTAACTTAAGTAAAAAATAATACATGTTAGAAATTCCGACGTCATATTCTAATAAAATATAATCAACTTAAAATTTACAATATTTTAATATCTAATAAAAAATATTTTATTTATATTTAACCTTTTTTTTACTCTTATAATTGAATGTTAAGATATTTTATTTAAATTCTTGTTTTCAAGAATAAGTATATTTAAAAAAAAAACATGAAAAATAGTATATATATATATATATTTTAAAAATTTTCATATAATATTATCCTTTTATTATTATTAAATAACAGTCTTAAAATATTAAGTCCCTAAATTAGTGGGAATAGTTTATTTTTTAAATAATATAAATTAATAATAATTAACATCATTTATATAAAAATAAATAAATATCAAAATCATAAAATTTAATAAATTTATTGATATGAATTTAAAGATTAAAAGAATAAAATAAAAAAATTAGATATTTAATAATAATTTTAACAAAATTAAGGAATATATATATATATATATATTAATTAGTGATTATATGTTTATGTATTAATGTATTTTTAATATTATTAATATTAAAAATATATATCTAATATTTTTGAAAAAAACATATTTTTATTTTTATTATCTATCGTATTATATATATATATATATATATATATATATATATATATATTATGTTTTTTATTAATTCTATTCAGTTAGTAAAAAAAATTACTTTTAAGAATATTCATATAAATTTTTTAGAAGTAATTAATAATATATTTTTTATTAAAATATTTAATAGTTTTAATGAGAATGATAGATTATTTTTTTTCATTAAAATTAATTTACTTTTTTTTATAATTTTTTTCCTCACAAACATGATGAAATCCATTTACTACACACATTAAATTTTTGAATATTGTTTTCTAAAATGTTAATAAAATATAGAAAAAACATAGTTTCCCATTAATTTCAGTAAAACTAAAATAAAATATTTCCATTGAAGATCCAGTTAATGAAATATTTTTAACTCAACTTCTACCATAATTATCTTTTTCTCATGTATACCATGGATATTTATGTTATGTAACTTTTATATCTCTGATTATAGTATTTTTATTTTTATTTTCAGTTTTTTTTCTAAATAAATGTTGAATATTTTATTGGTATCAATAACTTAAATTGTATCATTTTTAGTCTTATTCGTAAGAAAATAAAATAGTATAATTTGTATAAAACAAGATGAAAATATATATTCTCATTCCTAAATCACAAATTCATTCAAAATTTGATTTAACTAAGAAGTAACATAAAATAGGAAATAAAAGGATAATAATCAAAATTAAACATTTACATGAATATCATGTGAAATAAAATTAAGATCTCCAGTAGAACTATTCACAGAGAAGTTTAATGCTTCACACTTTTATCCCACTCACATTCAGTCATATGGTTTTTTTTTTTTTTGCTTAGTCCTCCTTTTCTGGACTTTTATATTGGACTTCATCCTCCTAATCTTTAAAAAAAAATTAAAATATATATTTTTTTTTGCAAAATATACTATTTATGTTATTAACATGTATTTTAATAAAATTGTGAATAATATAAATACAAATTTGGTCTATGATATGGATAGTTGGTATCCTTTAATTAGGGTTTTGTTTATCTTTATTCTCCATGATAACAGGAGAATGAAAAAAAAATAAAAAATTGAAGAGAAAGATTTTCACTATTGAATTTTGAAACATCAATTAAATTTTCACCTATTAAATGTCAGATTTTCACGTTGAATTACAATGAATAATCACTTGCACCGATTTGAACAATTTCATATTTGACTGTAACCTACAAGCCACGACATCAATACAAGTGTTTGCTTGAATGAATCCAGATGTTGTTGGAAGAACAGATCCGTTCAAAATGAACCGAATTTCATATTGATAGAAGAAGTGTCTAATTCACACAGCTGTTTGAAAAAAAAAAACAAATTGCACCGAAATCAAAGTTTGATTCTCATGCTCCCAATTCATCAACTTGCTTGATCAAAACAAAGTACAGAGAGCTTGAGTCTTGATCATACACCCTTTCACTCCAATCAAATTCATCCAAAATCAAAACACAGTTGCACTAAACCAACCTCCTCGTTTCCTTCAATATTCTACCCTACCATATAAAAGAAAGAGGGAAAGATGAGGAAATATATATATTTTTTTTCTTTACTTATTCATAAAAGTTTGGTGATAATGTAGTTATCATTTTGATAAAATTTATTTTAAATGCTTAAAAAAAATAAAAGAGGAGTCATTATAATTTTATTTTTTATAAAATTAGTTAATATCATTTTCAATTTAAGAAGATGCAGAATTCAGTGACAGAACGACGTGTAGTAGCATAAGTGGTCCAATCAAAATCGGAAAAAGTTTGGATCTCAAGCTCAATGTTGGACTGATAAAATAGATAGCACCCTGGAGCATTTTTTAGATAGTGAATAATTATCAAAGTTTGATTCATGTGAGGTTCACGGGGGTAAAGAAATTAACTGACTTAGTTGTTGAACAACAAAACATATATCAGGTCACGTGTGAGTCAAATAAAGAAGTCGGTCAATGAGTATGCGATAGGAAGAAGGATCAGACAATAACATTCTTTCATCAATATGTAATTTGGTGGCATGATCATAGGGCGAAGGTGCAGGTTTACAACTAAGAAGGTCTGCTTCAAAGATAAAGTTGAGGCAGTATTTTCGCTAATTTACAACTAAGCCTTGTGGAGATCGAACTATTTCAACCCCAAAAAATATTGAAGAGGATCAAGATATTTGATGTGGAACTTATCATGAAGATGGTTTTTAACCATTTGAATTTCAGAAATGTCATTATCAGTGAGCACTACATCATCAACATAAACTAATAACACTGTGACGGTGGAACCATAATGCTTGACGAGAAGAGAATAATCAGTTATACTTTGAGAATAGCCCAGAGTGAAAAGTTCATATGTAAGTATGTTGATCAAGTTTCTGCTGACTTGCAATAAAGAGGCTTGTGAAGTTTGCACACAGATTGAGGATGAGGAAGAGAAAGTCCAGACGGAGGCTTCATGTAAATTTCTTCATCCAATTCACCATGCAGAAAAGCATTGTCAACATTCAATTGGTGGATGAACCAATGATGAGTAGTAGCTAAGGCAAGAACAATGCAAACAGGAGATAGCTTCACAATAGGAGAAAAAGTCTTAGTAATCAATCCCTTCGGTTTGTATGAACCCTTTGCAACCAAACGAGTTTTGTATCTATACACCGAACCATCTGCTTTATGCTTGACCCTATAAACCCATCTGCATCCAATGGTCTTCATGCCAGGAGGAAGAGAAACGAAAGTCCAAGTTTGGTTTCTGTTAAGAGCAAGTAGTTCTGCAGACATAGCTTCTTTCCAGCAATCATTTTGAATGACTTCTTTGTATGAAGAGAGTTCGCCTTGGACAAATATGTTATGACAAAAGGAAGTATGATTAGAAGAACATTTATCATAAGAAAGAAAATGATGAATATGATAGGGATTAGAGAAGGCTGAATCGGATGTAGAAGCAGAACCACAGTAGTAATTTTGTAAGTATCAATGCTTGTTTTTAACACGATTAGAGGTCTTAAGAACTTCTGTTTTAGTGTTATCATAAGTTGTTAGGTGAGAAGTGTCGTGAGCTGCAATTTTGAGAAGTATCAGAAGTAGGTATGTTAGAAATATCATTGTTTCTAGTAGTTGTGGCAGATGAAATGGGAATATCAAAATGAAATAAGTCATTGTCGGTAGGAGAATATGCAACAGTGGAATAATGTGGAGTAGATAATAAAGTAGAGTAAGAAAAATAGTTTCATGAAAAAGAAAACTTGCAAGATACGATAATGGATTTAGAATGAATGTCATACAAAACATAACCTTTGGAGTCAGGCTTGAAGCCAAGAAAAACACATTTTTGGCTTTTTGAATCTAATTTATTTTTGCATGCAGGATGAGTACTAGCGTATGACAGACAACCAAACACTTTGAGATGGGAAAAATCGGGTTGTAAGTCATATACTATTTCATAAGGTGACTTATTTTGCAAAAAAAATGTAGGTAACAGTTTCTGATGTGCACAACAAGTTTTAGAGAATATATTAGGCATTTTTGCTTGAAAAGGAAAGTTCTACAAACATTTAAGAGGTGCTAGTGATTCCTCTCAACAATTTCATTCTGTTGAGGAGTTGTCACACAGGAAGTTTCATGAAAAATCCCTTTTGAATTATAAAAATCATGTAAAAAGAATTCATTACTATTATCTGAACTTACTCTCTTTAACTTGCAAAAAAATTGGTTTTCAAATAAGATGACAAAATTTTAAAACAATGAACTAGACCTCAAATTTATTTTTAAGGAGAAGAATCCAAGTTAAACCAATTAAATACATAAACTCATATATTTGCCAAATGTAATGTAAAAATAATAATAATTCACTCTTTACACAACTAAATATATATGAAGCTGGTATTGATAAAAATAAAATTATAAACATTCAACTTTTAAATATAAAATTGTTTTAAAAGAAGTTGGCTATGAATTCCCACACTATGTAATATATTCTCACAACCTAATTAAGCATACTTAAACTAGAGGACTCAATCAGATTTCTACAACTATATATGGTATAATTTAAGAACATAGATTTTTATGAATTTAAAAATATAAAATATTGACACATAAGTAATTACTATAAATTATATGTAATGAATTAATATCAAATATTTTTTTTATAATTTAGATTCAATAAATTATATTTGTGTTAAAAAAGATATAAATTTAATTTAATTATACAAAATTCATTAAAAATAACATTTACCTCTCATTTATATTATAATTTAATTAAGATGTTAAAATAAATTTAACTTTTTTTGAAAAAATGAGTTAAAATAAAAAAATTAATTAAAATTCATATTAGCTGGTTATTTAAGTGAGATTAATATATAAATTTATAAGTTGATTTATTATGAAAAAAAAACAAATATATATATATATATATTAATTTATATATTAAAATATTATATTAAAAATTAAAGTTAATTTTATTAATATATTTTAAGTTTAAAAATACTTATTTTGATTTTAATTTTTTAATTAAGTTAAGAATGATAACTATTTAATATATAATTAAATTAGGGAAACACATTATAATTTAATTTAAAATAACTTAGTTTAGAGGATAAATCAATTATTAATCACTTCAAGTTGAGAAAATAAATAGTGTGAAATAAAAAAAACTAAAAAATACATAATTATGAGAGATATGTGACTAGGTGATATCTTATAAGGTAATTTGGTAAGTGAAACAATGAATATCAATTACTCATCAACAAAGAATTTTGGAATGAAGTGTTGAATGGTAGAGATCTAAATCTTCAAGATAATATTATAACTTCAAACAAAACTTATAATCTTAATAATGGTTCAATATTGAGATACGTACACTGAGAAGAATAAATATATCATTTGATATTAATATTTTGAAACAAATCTTATTGATTAAATACTTTTAAAAAATCAAAGATTTTCTCTTTTTAGCCCGGGTTTTTAAGTAAAAAAAGTATTTGTACGTTATTCTTCTTGAAATATATTAATAAACTAGACTCATGCTTTAGGTTGTTTCATGTTATAAATAAATTTCAACACTTACGAAATGTGTTGAATAGGCACATTCACATCTCATACAAACAACCAACACAGTCCTCAGTATTTGTTAAGTTTTACATCCATCCCAAGATATCATTTTTTATATATGTGTTGGGCAGACTTTGACACATTGGTACATCATATATCATAAATCATTATTGAAGGTATATTGGATCATAATCCTTGAACATAAAAAATTCAAAATTTTCAATCAACTAAATTTGTAAATGAATTTTATAATTATAAATATATATTAATGATATAGATATATGTATTAGATACTATATGAATCAATCATTTATAAGAATTTTGCTAAAAAAATTAGACTTCTAAATTAATAAATAATACGAGAATTGAATCAAGATATTTTGATTTTTGTTTTTCGCATGATTAAAATTTATATATGGTAATTTGAATTGATTAATAGTACACGTTATATAATTCAAAATTATATATTTTTTTATAAATAAAACTATTTTTTTAATAAATTGAATTAATTGATGCGAATTAATTTTCTATTACGATATATCAAGGAAACAATAGTTGGTCATGAAGATATTTTGATTTTTGTTTTCATGATTATATATTATATATGTTAATTTGAATTGATTAATAGTACACATTATACAATTCAAAATTATATATTTTTTATAAGTAATACTATTTTGTCAACAAATTGAATTAATTGATGCGAATTAATTTTCTATTACGATATATCAAGGAAATAATAGCTGGTCCGATAGATGCTTAAGCGACTGCAATAATTATTGCTTAAGCGACTCCAATAATTATAACAAAAATTGAAAAAATACTTCCTTTTAATTGTCATCTATAAAAAAAACTAGAAAAAGTTACAAGATTTATATTAATTGCATTCAATATAAGTTCAAGATACATACTAGAAAAAGTTACAAGATTTATATTAATTGCATTCAATATAAGTTCAAGATACATAAGGGTTCTAACCATATTTCGGTTCGTGATCAATCTATAGAGACTTAGAGAAAATAAATAAACATTCAAAACAAATGCATGCTCGAATATAATTGATGAACTCTTTTTCAATATTTATTCATTTCGATATGAACATGAATTCAACGAATTTTATTGACTAACATAATAAGTCTTCAACAAAATCAAGTATTCACAAATATTATTTGTATAAATATATATATATATATATATATATATAAAAAATATTCTTTTTTGTTAACATAGAATTAAAAAAAAATCAATGTGATAAAAGCTAATAAATTATGATTTATATTATTAGTTCTAAAACTTTTTTATTGGCGAGCCACACAAATTGCACCTATTAAAGCAACTAAAAGAATTATCGAAATTAGTTCAAATGGAAGAAAAAATATGTTAA